AGACGTAATAGAATTTGAATCAACATTATCTGGTACCTTGTAACGCCTAGTAAACTGACGTGAAATGTAACCATGTTCATCACTGCGTTCCTCGTGTTTTCCTTCTACCACTACATAGCCATCAACAACTTTAACAGACACTTCTTCTGGCTTGAACTGCTGGACATCCAAATTCACCTTGAAATTGTTTTTGTCATTTTGGATGCAAGATAAACCACTCTGTGCAGCAGAACTTAAGCGATGTGGTCTTAGATAAGACTTCAACAAAACTGGAAAATGGCTACGACCGTGATAACGTGGTCCTAGGAGTAAATCATCATCTAGTAAACCGAGACCAAAGTTTTGATCGTACATGGTTGGCCGAGATAATTCATCCAATAAATACGGTAGAATAGACATCTAAAACAAATTGATGTTTTACTAGATACTTAAAATTTAGAAAAAAATAATAAACCAACGATCCATAAACGTAATAATGTAAAATAAATTGATTATCAAGTACAAGTCACAAATCACAGGGGTGAGCAGTCAATAAAAAATAACACAGCAAAACCTATTTAAGTGTTTCAGATTCTGTAATAAATAAGTATGATTTAATTTATTCCTTACCTTTAAATTAATAATAATACAAGATCACAGAAAAACCGCTAAACTAGATTTGATGAGTGTACTCGCACAATCGTACGTTCAGAATACAGATTATAAAAGTAACGGACAACTGTTGAATATTTACTGATGTGTATGGTGTTGAGCACGGCCGTTATATAAGAAGTAGAACATTCGGGAACGCCAGGGGTTCGAAACGTGGACATTTCTAGAATTTTCCCGAATATACAATTCCTATTGAACACAATATTGAATGTTTTTATACATTTTCGCTACATTGATATTCAATTACATCGTATTTTAATTTATTGAAAAGAAATGCCCGTTTCAAAATATTTGAATTGTGCATTAATCAACAATATATATGTAAATCTAAATAATTCTGTGCGTACCCGTAATTGTACAGGGTACGTAGGCAATTAATTATTACTTACCATCCTATTTGTTTTTGTAAAAATCTTAAGATCCTTCTACAATTTCATACTTGAATAATTTAAATCGTTTCGATTTCATACAATGAGGGCCGTATTTAAGTGATAGTTCGGGGAGGCGATGGCCCCTTGAAATATTTAAAGGACGACAACATTTTTACGGTGATTCTAAGTAAAACCAAATCGATTTTTTCGCATTCTCAATGGAAAATTATTTATGAATAAATAAAATTATACAAAAAAATAAATATTATACTACAAAATCATAAATATTATTTAGTAGCGTATAGAATTTATATATATTTAAAAGTGTTTTATTTGACATGGTATTTTATTGAGGTATAGATATTGATTTAATTTTGATTTGTTTGCGGATTGGAAATTCAGACCGAAAGTTAATAAATTATTTATGGTTACCACCATCACTCTTATAAAAGCCATTTTTCTATAACTTATTTATGTAATTTAACTAGGTTATTATTTTGGATTTGATATTAATTATAAATATTGTATAGGTACTGAAATAAGGAAAGTTAATTACAAGCAGCTTTTTAATTAATTATTGGAGACTTTTATTTTCGGTTTTACACTTCAGGGAAGAGGGGCAGCAAAATTTTGTTGCCCCTGGGCAGAGAAATCTTAAATACGGCCCTGCATACAATATTTTTATTTTTTAATGTGTATTATGTTTGAAGAATATTAGAATACATTTCTAAAACACGTTTTGATTAGACTAATTATATAAAAAAAATGTACATTTAAATTCTAAATAAAAAAATAAGGGATAAGTGATAAGTACCCAAGAATTGTTTACTGAATTATCTGAATTTACTCAAATTTGAATTATAATTAGAAATGGGTAAAATTGATAGTGAATTGATTATAACGCAATATGCACATATTTATTATATATATGGGTAATATTGTAATAACATTCATTAATAATGAATATTATTTTAAAAATGCATTTATATGCACAAAAACTAATACCTATAAAAAAATAATATACTTTTTAAAAAAAAATTACTAAAATATGCAAAAAAACCACAAATATGAACTCACTACGTTATGGAACACATTATTAGTTCACCTACATACCTATAAATAGAAGACAGAAAAAAATATACAATTTCTATACTTCTCGTTCCTAGTCATAACATTCTATATAAAATAATTTTTGGAAATGTTTTGTTATTAAAGTTATTCTCAATATTTTAAATCTAAATTCTTAATCATAATAATTCGGATTTTGAAAGCTTCATGGAAAATTATATCAAATTTATTGGATTATTAAATTCCTGTGAAAGTCCGAAATCATTAGCTCAAAATAGGGGGACTGAACTAAAAAACTGCACCTGAATCACAAAAAAAAGAAATGTTTCCTTGGGAAAACCATGGGTATGCGAATTCTGAAAACTATATAACAAATTATAACAAATTAATTGCAAAACCCTCGAGAAGGTTTGAAGCCGCTATCTTGATTTAGGGTGGGCCAACTTAACGCACACCTTAATTCGTGCCTTATACTAATAGACATGTCTTTGGTACACGTAGAAGTTCTACGTTCTACGGTAGAACGGTCATAGATAAAGGACGCTCTTCATAGGTGGATATCAGGGGGGCTTGAGGGGGCTTAGCCCCCTAAAATCGAAACTTTGTTAAAAATATTATTCATTGTTTTTAAAATTATTTGTTTATTTTTTTTTTTGAAAATCGTAAAATATGAAATAATAAAAAACTATTTACAATAGCATTAATAATACCAATTAGTTCGACTACTTGCGAAAGAAGTTTCAGTGCAATGAAAAAAATAAAAACTTGGCTAAAGTTCAGTGGTCTTTCAATACTATATATTGAAAAAGATAAATCGAAAAATATAAAAAGTTATGATATTTTGATTATCTTTGCTGATACAAATAGATATTTGTCATTAAAATAAAATATTAATTATTTTTAAATATACGTTATTTAGCTTTTTTTTTTTAATACAATTTAAACATATCTATATTTTTAATAGTAATAAGTTTTACTTGTGCATGAGAAGGGGGTGTGGGGCCGAAGCCCATGCGAGTTATTTTACATTGAATTATTATAGCCCCTCCCCAAAAAAAAAATTCAACCAAATGTTCGCTTTGACGCTCTTCATGACTTATGATTGCACGATCAGGGCCGTCCCGAAGATAAAAATCAAGGGGGGGGGGGGGTTAAATAATATGAAAAATGCCGACTACAACTTTTTACTCAATGTATATAGTATAATTAACTATGTGTAGTCGTATTTTTACTTTTTATCATGTATATATGTGTCAGTGTTGCACGTTCTTAAAATTGACAATTTAATTATATATATATATATATATATGTAATAATATTTTATATTGTATAATAAGTAGTTATATAAATTTTATTCGTGTATACACTGTATTGCGAAATATATAATATTTGTTTTCCGTAAGTAAAATTAGGTCCTTCTAGTCTATAATGAAACAAGTCCAACTGCCGACTGGTGTTTTCGTTGTGGGTTAAGACACCCCCTTCGGGATGGCCCTGTACACGATAATTAATATTATCGTGATATCGGAGTATATTACTATTGCTCCAATACGGGCAGTGCCGGCGTTAGGGGAGGACAAATGGGATATTTGTCCAGGGCCCCGCGCTCGTTAAAGGGCCCCATGATTTTTAATTATAATTTTCATTTAATTATCAACAAATTTTAAATCTATATTATGCCTATCACCAATTATTTGGAAAATGATATCTAAATTTAGCCATAGTACAAAATACAAAGTAAATCGTTATCGATACGACGAAAGCGTAATATTTCAACGAGTAGGATTCCTACAATAAATAATAATATAAATATTTATTGTCTCTATAGTTATTGTTTAAAATTCGAAGAAAAACAGTATTTTTTTAAAAAATCCTGATTTAAAAAAAAAAAACTAGAATTTTTCCCCTCTAAAGGGTCCTATGTCCAGGGTCAGTGGCGTAAATGGGAAAAAATCTAGGGGGGGCAATATAATATATTTATTATTACCAAAACCCTGACACCCCTCCCCCAACCAGTTAAAACATATTTTTATTGTATGTATTTTATACAGTATATCTAATTATTTGATTTTACATAAGTGTTTTAACTCATTTTGTGGTTTAGATTAACATAAATTGTAGGTAGCAGGTACTAGGTACCAATACCCATAAGAGTTCATTAATAAAAGGTGCTATTTGTACTATTGGATTATCTAGGGGGGGGGGAAATTATACCTTTATCTCTCAAAAATTGTCAGGGAGGCACTTGCCCCTCACAATTACGCCAATTTCCAGGACCCCGCAATACCTAACACCGGCACTGAATACGAGTATATGTTTAAACTTAAACATGCTCGTTCAAGTGTACTAATAGGTACTACAATTTTTTGTACTCAAATAGTTAGTTTTTATTTTTATTATTTAAAACACGTTATTTATATTATTTTTAAATACAGCTGAATTTTAGGTAATATGTAACTATGTGCTACAATCACACATGTAAAACATAAAAATCAATATACACCCAGTGGCGCACACTCAAAAATGAATAGGGGTAGCATATTAAATGGAAAAATAACACCCACCCACTAAATCACTTTCAAAAACAGACCCGCGGGGGCTTCGCCCCCACACCCCCCTAACTAGAATTCTCTAAACTTGTTCAAGATTTAATAATAAAGTATTGAATGTTAATAAAATAAAATACAGGTTCTCGGTAGCTATTAGTTTTTAATGATTATTGTAAGTCTTAATAATTATGTACACTGGGAGTAAACATCAAACTTAAATTAATATAATAAAGCCTTTTGCAATAAGCTACTATTATTTGAAAATGTATTAATTACAGTATCTGTGTCAATTTTAATATCATTTTCACATGATAGTAACATTAAATTTTCTAACCGACTTTCACACATGGTACTACGAAGTTTGTTTTTAATAATTGTCAATTTAGAAAAGGTTCTTTCGGGTTCTTTAGTTTTTATTACACGTAGCACGTTTAAACCGTTTTACCAATAGTAACGAACGGTTGTACAGGCTTGCCTATTTTAATGTCCCCGAATAATTATTATTATAGTTTATGTAGGTATAGGTACAATTGAATTGATATCCTCATATAAGTCATGAGACTTCGGCTACCCAAACCACCCACCTCTAAAAATGCAGAGGCCATGGCTTCTCAAAAACCTCTTCAACACGCCACTGTACGTAGTAGATTTATTATGATGTTATCATGTAGATGTAGATATTTTAGGGCCAGGAGGACCACCCACCCACCCACCCAATTTTTCAGGGGTAGCAGCTGCTACCCTTGAACCCTCCACTGTGTGCCACTGTATACACCACCATATCACCATACTATAGATTAAACTTGATTGTTTGAATATTTTTTTAAACATTAGGGTTAATATAACTATATTATAATTCCTTAAATAAAGGAATAAAATTTAATTTTTATAAACTTTTACTTTTATTTGTTTTTTCAGTATTTAAGATATTTTTATGAAAAATCATATTTTTCCAAAAAAAGAATATTTATAAAAGATTATTTTAATGAAATTATAAAGAAGAGCATCTTCTTTTTAAGATTTGAAGTGCATATAAAACCAGTTTCTAGTAAAGGCTCTTAATGTCTAGGCTGGATCCACTGATTAGGTAATTAATTTGTCAACATTCTGTATGACTTAAATATAATGTTTCTAGTAGTCCATTCTCTTCCACTGATAGAATTTCTTGAGTTTATTAGAACAAATTTAAAATTTATAAGATACAACTAATTATACTACCATGCCATGTATACACTTAATATGCATGGATTTTTGCCAATACAAAATATTTTAACAATTACAATGTAAAAAACAAAAACTAGCTATTTTTCATATACTTTTCTTTATTTTAAATCATTTAAATGTTAATAACCATTAAAATGTACAAAAACAAATTTTTGAACACTCAACAAAAAACAGCAAAGTTTAAATTAATTGTATCCATAGTTCGATTATGAATTTATAATACCAATTTAGACTCTTCAATATTTATTTTACAATATAAATTGCTAAAATATTAAAAAAATTATATTGTTTTATGTTGTTTTTCATCTTTTATATTTGCACATATTTTTCTTATTTATAGGAATTTAATAATAATGGTACTGTAAATAAATAAAACGTAAAATATCTAAGTACAATATTTTTAATTTAAAAAATAATACTAAATTAATATAATATTATAGTACTATAGACGAGTTATAAATATAATAATGATAATTATTAATATTTAAGCTTAATTATAAGATCTAGTGTGGAGTTATATGTAAAATAATGATAATTAATATTAACTAAATTCAATTATATACTTATTTTTATTTCAACCAATTAAGAATAAAATTATCACTAATTTAAATTAATCAAACATAAAGGAAAAATAAATACTTGGATTTTTTATTGATTCAATGTGAATAGATATGATCTTAAATTATAAAGCTTACAATATTATTTATTTATTATTATAAATATAATATTGTTATAGTATATAATAACACAAAGGAACAACAAAAAATGAAATAACTTTATTATATGTATAAGTTAGATATATAATAAGATTATTTTTTATTCTGTTTTTGTTTCTTCTTTGGTCCATTATCAGCTGGTAAGCCTTTAACTAAGGAAAGTTTAGATTTTAATTGAATTAATAAATTAATTTCCGGCTGTAATTCACTTTTTTCTACTTTTGCTTCTTTTAATTTTCTTACTATATCGCCCTGCATCAATATAATAAGATAAATATTAAAAATTAATAAAAAAGATTGTGTATAAATTAGTTGAAGCTTTTATGGATTGATATAATATTTCCTTTTATGGAAATATACTATTTCAGTAGTGTGTAATATGTTTATATATTAACAGTACACTACAAAAATACACTTAAGATTACACATACAAGTTAGAAAACTGATAAATAAATACACATTCAAAAAGAAAATATACGATCAATATCATAATTATAGAATTAATTAAATTACTTGTTTTGAAATTTCTTTTTCTAAATCATCTATAGATATTGGATTAGATGCTATTTTCATTTGTTCTAAACTTTTCTTCATTTCCAATAATCCTTTGACGTATGGTTCCCATTCACTTTTTTCAGCTTTACCTTGCTTTAATGATTTCACTAAATCACCCTGAAGAAAAAAAATATTTTTAATAGTTAAAGTTTGTTTAAAATACATTTTTTGAGAACCAGTTTACTTACTTGCTTAGAAATAGCTTCTTCCATTTGTTCAATACTTGAAATTTGTGTAAGATCCAACCCAGGAACAAGTAATGTTTCTTTTTCCGGTGAATTTTGTTTACCAGCAAAACGACTTTTTAATTGATTAACAACAGATGCATCAATTTTATCAAATAATGGAGCAGGCTATACATAAAAATAGACAGTAAATAATATAAATTATTTGTAGTAAAAAAATATTTATTTATACTTTTCCAATTTTATGTCCAGGTTGCAAGAAAATTGATACAAAATTATTTAATAAAAATGTTGAAATATCAACATTCAATTGTTTGCCGATTATATTAACGGTTTGTGGCATATAAGGTTGTAACATTATAGCTATTAAACACACCAGATTACAACTAAGTCCAATGATAGTACCAGCTTTGATTCTAAAAAAAAAAAAAAAATTAGTATAAACAACATAAAATAATTCTTCTTTAATTACTTGTCTTCGCATGACCCTTTCACTAATACCCATGGTTTTTGGAATTGCATGTATTGATTACCATGACGAGAAATAGAAAGTATAAGTCGTAAACCATCTCTAAGTTTGGCCTTATCTAACATACTTATATATTCTTTTACATCACGTGTTACAAGTGCCAATAAAGTGAGTTCATCTTTTCCCAATTGAATTTCAGGAATAACACAATCAAAAAACTTTTCTAAAAATGCTAAAGCTCTGAAATCATATTTTCTATACTAATTTAGAAATTCTATTATATATAACCAAATGTCATTTTCATAATATTTAGTAAATACAACATTCACTAAAACATTATTTACCTATTACAAAAGTTTCCTAAATTGTTCAACAACTCAGAATTATTTTTAGTAGCTAAATCACCCCAGCTAAATGAACTATCCTGAGATTCTGGACGAACAAACAGCAAATAAAACCTAAAAACATCTGCTGGCAATCCAGTATTTTGAGCATCATTCCCAAATACTCCGATTCCACGGGATTTAGAAAATTTACCATCTTCATAATTTAAATACTCTAAAACAGCAAAAAAGTAAAAATAATTATGTTATAATTTGTCTTAAGTTTAATATTTTAAAACAACAAACCTGTGGCCATTATATGGTTAACAAATGTATAGTTGCATTCAGTAGCAAAAAGACAAGCTGGAAACATAACGGAATGGAAAGGCACATTATCTTTAGCCATAAATTGGTAATATGTTACTTTAGTATCAATTTCTGGTTGCCACCATTTACGCCACTCTAGTGTGTAAACAGCACTCATACTCATATATCCAATTGGTGCATCAAACCAAACATAAAACACCTATACATTTAGTTGTTAGAATTATTGTTATATTTCATCAGATAAAAAAGTAAATAGTATACTACATTAATATCTAAAAAAAATTTAGTAATAGATTAACTAATATGATAGGGCTATTTGGAAATAAAAATCAAAACACCAAGAACAATATTTTTTATAACAAAAGTGAGAGAGACAGAGAAAAATAGTATTATTTCTACATCATAATTGGAAAAATTATAATTGTAAATTCTTTAAAAATAAATGTATAGTGAAATTTAATAATAAATAACATACTTTTGATTTAAATTCTTCAATTGGTACTGGAATTCCCCATTTCAAATCTCTAGTAATACATCTTTCTTTCAAACCATCTTTCATCCAAGACTTAGTAATCACTTTAGCATTATAAGACCAATTATCTCCAGATTTATCTACCCAATCTTTTAATTTAGCTTCAACTTTGGGTAAATTCAAAAAGAGTTGCTGAGAATTACGTATAACAGGTGTTTTTTGACAAACCTTACACCTAGGTTGTATAAGCTCAGTAGCATTTATTAAATGACCACAACCATCACATTGATCACCTCTAGCATCTTCATATTTACACAGAGGACATGTTCCTTCAACAAAACGATCGGCCAAAAATCTGAAGTAAAACAATAACAAATAATCTATACAAATTTATTGTAATAAATACGAACCGATCGCAATTTTCACATAAAAGTTGTTCCATAGAAGCAGTGGTAGTATACCCATTATCATGTACTTCCTTGAATATGCTTTGAACAATTCTAAATTAAACATAAATTAACTAGTTAAATTATAATTTGAGCTAAAATGTTCAAAAAACTTTACTCAGTTTGTTTATCGGATGTAGTTCTGCCAAAATGGTCAAAACTTATGTTGAACCACTTATAAATTTCACTATGAATTTTAAAATATTTGTCACAAATCTGTTGAGGTGTCAATTTTTCTTCTAAAGCTTTTGTTTCCGTTGCTGTACCATATTCATCAGTACCACTAATGAATAATGTATTCCAACCACGCAATCGACAATATCTATTAAATAAAATCATTATTAATTTGATTGATTAATTAAATATAATCAAATTTTAATTATATCATTGTACTGGAGGAAAACCAACTTGATTTTTTTAAATTGTATTTCTTCTCATACAAAAGAAGTAAAATACCTTAGTCTACTGTTTGAAACAGAAAATTCACTTGAGGTTATACATGCAAACAACTTCACAATCGCCATCATAATCCCAACTTCCTACTTTTGTACAAAAATCTAACATATCTATTCCCATGGAAATAAACTTTAGTGTTCGGTCGAATTAGCAAACACCAGAATTGTTCAAGCATTTCAAGCAACGAATGATTGCCAATGCTCCCTGGGGTACATTACCAATATATCTTTGCATAATGATCTAAAAATCCCAACCATAGAAGAAACAGCTACTACATACTACTTACATACTCCATTACAAAACAGAACATCATTCCAATAGCCTAATCACTATAGTTTAATTTTAACAATCTTTCGGGAAATTCAGTCAAACGCCTAAAACATGAATAGCCTAGAGATCTTTTCAATGTTTAATTTGTACATTGAATTTTATAATAAAATTTTATGACCTACTCATTACTCATTTTCAGATGTTTATAATGTGAAACATCTTCATATTTTTCACAAATGAATGATTCTGCCGAATAAGGTTCTATGTCGGATTTTGTCAAAATTTTTTTTTTTATGGAATAATGTCCTATATCAGGTGTAGAATGTGTTTCTTTGGTCTTTAGTACTAAAAGAAGTCATTAGAAGCTACGAGAATCGCATATATATACAGAAATGACAGAATTTTCAGAAGTAAAAGGGATTATGTCATATAGATACGACGTCATTTTTTTAATATCATTCGTAACTAATCATTTAATTATATTATAACCAAAATATGTTATATCATATAATATCTGCAATTATTTCTTTTCTTATTCAATAAACAAACATGATACACCTACATGTGCACCAGGTTTTTATTTTAAAATTTTTTAGTGGAAGAAAGGCCCATATAACTCCAAGAAATTGTAATTAATAATATTAAGTTAAATATTGTTTTTCAGCGCTCCTGAAAAGTTGAGAAATCCGACATAGGCCCTTATTCAGAGGAACCACTCAAATGGTTTTATATTATACTAACTAACATTTAATTATTATACACCCCTGTATAGATTGTAAATAAATGAATAAGCAATTTAAAAAAAGAAGAATTATTAAATAAAAATGTACAACATATTAAAAAATAAACAAATGAGTTTTTAACTTAAATATTAAATAATAATTAATATGTAATATTCTTAATTATTATTTAATCATATATTTTTCATTTATTTTATACATTGATTATTTCAGAATGTAATTATGTATTATTTTTAGATTACGAAAAAAATAAAATTTGTAAGTTAACTCAGTACAATAATTCATAAATGGGTATTCATAACATGAATGTATTGATGACATTTAGTGTTTAATTTACATATTATAGAAACTTATTTAATAGTATACAAATTTTATGACGTAATTTAATTTCCTGGATTTAAAACATAAATTTTAAAAAGAAAAAAGTTTAAAAAAATTCCCTTAACTACATTTTATTATAATTATACAGTGACTGATAAAAATGCTATTTTTAGCATCATTTTATACTAGCATATTATATTAAGCATCATAACTATAAAAATCAGTAAATTACATTATGATAACAAATATTAATTGATATAAATCCATTACAATTTAAAATTTATAATATAAAAAAGTAAAATATTATTTTAATGGTAATTGTCTGTCATGAATTTTATTAAAATTTCATATTTTAAGTATCTGATAAATTTTTTTTTATTTATAATTAAGAAAAAATAATTAAAAACTAAAAATATTCATAATATGAACAAAATATTAAATAAATTACCTTGCAAACACATCTGCAGATAATACACAACCAATTATATTACCAAGATGTGGAACATTGTTGACATAAGGAAGTGCTGAGGTCACAAGAACATTTTTTTCGCCTTTAACAGGTAATCTATTGCAAAATATTTAAAACATTAATTTTGAATAATAATAAAACATAACTACTTAACATTTTTATTAGAATAAAATTATTTACAAAAATTATTTGGGAGCAAATAATTTCACCACTCTAAACATTAAAAATAATTTAATTATTTAAATTTACAATTTAAAATTAAATAAGTATTGAGACAAAAATTTTTTGGTTAAACATAAATTGAAATACATGTGAAATTAAAAGAAAAACATCTAAACTATTGACAAAATCTGAACTTCAAACAATTTTTTTTTAAATCGAATGACATAAATATAAAGTTTTTTTTTTTATAATTACATGTTTTTCTATTCTAGCACTTGTTATATTATTCCAAAGGTACTTCATCATTTATTGATTTTATGGACAAAAATAATATTCAGACTCCAGAACACATAAACACCAATTAAACGTTCGACTGTATTATACAATTGAGCGTAAAATAATTAAATAATCCAATACTTACACTGGTACGCTATTAACTTTATTGAGGTCTTTCAGACAGGATTTAGAGACCCACGAATTTTTTGCGTTCATTAACTCGGCTTCATCTAGGTCGACGGTCAGTGACATTGCTTAAACTTAAATAGGAATTAAATAAAAATAATAACCGATTGAAATCAATCAAAGGACAACCGTTGACGGCCTTAATATAATTGAAACTCACAACGACTATGGTAATCCACTGACCACTTGGCACTTCTTGCCTTATTTATCAACAGCGTATTTCATTTTTTAGGTTATCAGCAGATATTTAAAGCAAATTATTATCACCGCTCTTATTATTGTAGGTTAAGTATAAATTATGCTTTACACCAAGCCGGCTACCGCTGTAGCATCCCGATAACGAAATGATGCTATATTTATTATAATACTGATAATTATTTATAATTAGTTATTTTTAATGTGTACACGCGGGCGTCCTACTGGTTCTCACAGTTTGCATGAACAGGCGCGGATACAAGGGGGAATGGAAGCGATGCCCCCCCCTAATGTCACGAAACAAAACGAAAAAAAATTATAATAAAATATGTCAACATTTCTCGACTTGGCAAAATTAAAGAAAGGAACTCTATTTACTTTAAAAAAAAAAAGAGCATCCCCAAAACTTGATAAGCGTTATAATTATAACGTAATAATAGTAGGGGACGCTAAAATTTCTGAAAATTAGTGGGGTAATCCGTCCCTTCTCAAGTCGAGCACTGTAGGTTGTCAAGCAATGATAAAAATTATATTTTTTCTATAACACCTATATATGTTTATAAAAAACCAAAAAAAAATTAGATTTCGCTCTATAATATTCAATTTAATTTCATATTTTTTTTATTGTTCTTAAATAAAAAGTTTTCTTTTCGATGTACCTATTTTTTTTTTAAACTTTTAGTTGGAAGTTTATTCCTTTACAGTGTAAAAAAAATATTTACGATAAAAGGTAATACTTATAATACTATAGAATTATTGAATTTTATATATTATATTATGTCAACAATATAAAATCCCCCCCTCTAAAAATTACTTTAGATCCGCGCTTGTGCTCGAATGTATTCATTTGATATAGGAAAAACGTTGAAGAAACTAAAGTAGTGCAGAAATGCAAGCTCATGTCCACGAGTTCATTCAAATTATCGCCAACACTACGTAAATGCAACTACAGAAATTCAAATTGTAAACATCATGTGTGAATTGAAATAGTAATACTTTATCTTATAGACCAGGGATCATGACCGACGAGAGGGTGGGACAGGGAGGGCTAGAGCCTCGGGGCCCATCGTCTTAGCCTTTTATACAATATTTTTATTGAACTAAAATATGTACAAGTAATATGTATATCTTAGTCAAACAAGTTCAAGTAAAGGGGGCCCCTGGGCCCTCAAAAGTTCTCGTCGGCCCTGCCAGGGATGGGCAACTCAAGGTTATCAAGGAGCTAATTTATAGAACTTTCAAATCTGGTAGAGTAAAGAAAAAAAATAGGTTATTAGATTATTTGACGGTTAGCATTTATTTCATACAGTTAAATTTTACGACTAAACCAATCCAATAAATTAAGTACTTAATACTATTGTCACAGGCTAGGTTAGGTATATGAAAACTATTTTCATATAGTCTGTGCTATAGTATTAATACCTATAGTTATATTAACTGTGCTGATATGAGGTTATATTATGTTTAGACATTTAGTAATTTAGCTGTAGTTCAATACCAGATAAGAATATAATGTCAACATTTTACGATCAATATAATAAAATGAAATATTGATAAACACTAAAACATTATGAAGCAATTTGAAAATGTAGCACGAGTTAAATCAAGAAATAATAAACCAAGGACCAGGTGAAGTTCGTCGGCCGCCAATTGCCTATCTATGTTATAGACGAATATAAATCATTATATTACAACAATTATTGTGCGCATATATACATAGATAATACTTCGACAATCATTTAATATTGTTTCTACAACCAGAATAGGCAGTCAAAATAAAGGGACTGAATACCATAATTTAAGAACTTTTACAAATATTATGACAAATGTGGAATCATAAGTTATGATCCCTAATCTTTACTTACCTTTATGTATCTTCTTATCTGACAAAATATATCAGGTAAGTACCTATTTTAATTGCATAAATGATTAAAACATGTTTTTAATAATTGATAAGTAATCAAGATAGTTAGGAATGTTGAGTATTGGGAGGAATATTGTATCAGAAAAAAAATGTACGAGTTACATTTTTTAAGAGTATTTTTTTTTTTAATTCATTTTTAATACGTATGTATGCCAACTTGAGCATTTTAATAAATGATTTTAGTTCTGTAACTAGCATTGCCATAAATTTATAAGGTGAAACAAAAACAAAACATACACATTATTGAAAGATATACTTTTTATTATTTTAATTACTTTTAATATATTAAGCGGACCATTAATGGCAGGCAATATAATATTTAAAAATATTTTTGTAAAATAAAATATATTATATATTTAAGTGCAAATTACATATTATGTTTTTATAATATATTGTTAATTGATTACAATTAAAAATGTACTTTGAGATAAAATCGTCTTAATTAAAAATGAATCAATTCAACATTTCCTCTAAACGTCTAAGCCAGGACATATAGACATCCTAAAAACATGTTTTGGGGCACCAGGACACGAAGTTCAAAATCTATTTTCCGGGACATATGGCAACCCTATCTGTCATCATTGATTATAGAATATAAAACAACAATAAGTAATAACTAATATTTGTGCATCAGTTTAAATAAGTTGATTGGGTCTGTTTGGATAATCCATATACAAATAAACATGTGTTGCTTTGTTATTTTTATAACAGGAATGATTGAAAAACAAAAATGTATTTAGGTATTTGGTTTTATTTTATTATGGCTTTTATACAAAAATTAAAATAACATTATAACAATATAGTTACAATAAAAATAAAATCACAAAATTATAATGGAAGTATAATGCATTTATTCTACTAGATTCACAAGTAGAAACTAAAAAAAATTGTAGAAAATTGAATAAATTCATTACATTTTGTTATAATAATTCATCAGTATATATACATAATAAATTAGCGTGCCACTAACATAATCAATAAATTTTGACATTCATAACATTTTGTTAATACTTTACTTAAACTACAAAACCATATAAAACGAAATAACATTTATTTCTTGACTAATTCTTAATTAAAAAATTCAACAATACACATATAACTTTTTTACTACAATACAGTTTTTGAGTACAAAGTTTATAAATGTAATGTTTTATTTCATTGTTCTGTATATAATTTTCATTAAGTAAATGTAAATATAAAATAGCTGAGTTATTATATTACAATTATCACAACTTTTTTTTTTTCATATATAACAAAATCACTGAAAAAAATAGTGGCACAATGTATTATAGTAAAAATGTATGAATACAAAGCACAATATTCAATTAGTCATGTGATCAAAAAATAATTTAAACCACATATTACATAAGGTTAAAAAATGTAATTAAATAAAGTTTTAATTAATGCAATAATACTTGTTGATAGGGTGACATACAGATAGCACACTATATATGAAAACAAACTAGTTTTAAAAAAAAGTAAGAAAAGTATTATAAACAAAACAGATTAATAGAAATTAATTAATATAAATCAGTACTTTAGTTATTTAAAAATAGATGTTCAAGAACTAAACTAAAAGTTTATAGTAGTATCTTAACAAGTCAATAGTAATAATACAACCAATAGCAATATATTAGCAACTAACTCATACAGTTACAAAATATTAATATACAACTGAATTAAAAATAATTTAACATATTATATTTTAGTTAATACACTAATTCACATTTTTAAATTAGAAATATAATTGGTTGAAAAAAGTTTCTAATTATAGTTTGGGTACAATAAAACTTTTACAACATCAGTTAGTAAATAAAATATATATATTAAAATGTAAACCATGGTTATGTATTTTAAAAGGCAACAGTTAAAATGATTAATGTACTAATATTTTTGAGCATCCCAATGTTTACAAAAGTAATAGAAGTGTGACTTGAATGTTACACACAAGTACCTGAAACTTCTAATGGAATACTTTTATTGTACTCATAATTTTTGTTCGATAATTATTAATGTAATTAGTTTATGAATTTGTCTTGGGCGATGTTGGGGAAGACTGCTGTGCACGTTCAATATACAAGTTTAACAGCTTGAGCTTAGCGCCATTTAGACTTGAAATATGAGGTGCAAATTCTTGTTCGCCAAATACTTTATGTAATGAAACCATACAAAATACAGCGGATTTTCGAACAGCACTATCAGGGTTATCATAGCCTTGCAGCAAGCCAGGCATTATTTCTTTCATTTGAGAAGCTACAGGAGGACTGCCATACATATCAACTAGTTTAGTCATCATTTTGATTGCCATCAAATTAACTGGAAATTCTTTTGCTGATATTAAAGGCGTGATTACTCTGACTACTGTTTCTGGTTGTAATGATACACTAAGGGCAAATGAACATTCTTCTGCAACTTTTACAACCGGTTTACAGGGATCACAACACATATTTAGTACTTTTAGAATTATCAATTCAGTAAAATTATGAAAACAAGTAACCATTTCTGGCTTTTGAACTAAATTTGTAATTAAAGTAATAGCTTGTTCTCGTATGATTGGTTCACTGTCCATTAATAATTTTAAAACTACTTTGATTATTTTTTTAAAATTTTTTACAAGCACATCAACAGGACCATCTCTAATTAATTCTTTTAGACGATTTAAATTTGATTGTTTATAGTCAAGTTGCAAGGTGTCTTTATCTAAATCATCAAGTATTTTAATAATTCCATCAGTTGCTGTTGTATGACCATTTTTGTAGCCATTCAAATTATGATTATCAGTTTCAGTACGAACAGACATTTGACTTATTCCAGAATCATAGGAAGCAGTATCTCTTTCTCCAGTATAGTGACATTCTAAACTGTATTTTTGTATTTCAGCAGTAGTTTGTTTTAATGACTTATATATTTCTTCTGAATTGAAATTATCAGTAGTATCATGTTGTAAGGGTGGTGAAGCAAGATTTGTTGGAGACTGTCGATTATGACTATGATATTTTGGAGACATTAATTGATCAACACTACTTCTTCTTACTCTATTTTTTATAAGTCCAGAAACTGCTTCTTGATACTCTTCTGGCAATTGAGATAACCTTAATGTGATTTGGGATGCATTTAAACTGTACAAAGCTAGTATAGATTCTTGAGCTGCACGTCTTAATTCAGGACCTTGCTTTATATTGTTGCCCATAGTCCATCCGATCATTTTTGTTAATGCTAAAGTAGCATAATCTTTTTTTCCATCAGCAGCAGATGGAAATGCTGATCCCGGATCCGTAGTAACAGCTAATTTTGATATATAACTCATGGCAAATATTTTCATTTTAGCATTAGGTGTTTGTGTTGGGTCTGTTAGAAATTTAAATACAGCAGTTAACTGAGAATCACAAGGAAATGATAATCTTACAATTTCCATAGTTTTTAAAATTTTTGAATGTACAGAACCAAGTATATCAGAACCTCCTTTATTAAACAACTTAGCCAAAAGTATATACAGCCAATGATCTAAATATTGGCTATGGGTAACAATTAATTCATTAAGAGCATCTAAAAAGAGACTTATGACTTTAGTTTGAGAATCCATAAACATTTTAGTAAATATATCTGTTAATCTTTTTAATAATAGTTCACTTATAATATTTCCTTGTTGTAAATATCTTTGTAAGCTTACCAAACCTTCTTTGCGATTATTCCAGTTTGAACTTTCACAATTAGATATTATATCTTCAATATCTAAACTAGAATTCTCCCAAATATCTTTATGTAATCGATGTTGTGATCCATTCCAATAAAATGAATCTGATGTTCTTCTGTGAGAATCAATTGACCGTTCTGAACAAATACTAGATGTTTCACTCTCATCACTATGGTCATCTATTGACCTTCCCAATATTTTTCTTGGAGATTTATGACCAGTAGTAGTACTACCAAGAGCATCAGCCAAAGCAGATTCTGCTTCTCGACTCTGCATTAATATTTTTTGTGCCATTATTGGTCTAGATATTGGTAAAATAGGTGGTCGTCTACTACTTGAATGTGATCCAAGGGAACTATACCTATTAGGACTAGCTTCTCTACTAGTATCTTGAGATCTGGGTATACCAGAACTGCCTCTTCGTGACTTTGGTTGCCCAAATGTAAATCTTGAAGATGGTGATCCTGAACGACTAGTTGGTTGAGATATTGACACTCTACCTCTTGATCTTCCAACTCTATCTGATTGATGCAAATCATCATTACTTTTCTTGGTAACAGATTGAGGGGAAACCATGGGGTTTACTTTTTGTCTAGCAAGAGCTGCATATTGAGCCCGAGCTTTTGCTCTTTGTGCAGCTTGTAAATCTATGGCACTGCTTGATCTCATTGAAATATTATTTTGAGGAGTTACTGGACGACGAGAAGGTAATTTTATACTTTCAGCCATTACAGATTTTGGCAAACATGAACTGGATCCAGTATTTGTAAGTAATACCTTACGATATGCTGGCTCTAACTTATTTAATAATACTTCTCCTTGTTCTGGAAAATGTTCACAAAATCCCCAATAAGATTTTCTTGATAACACACGAGCATCTGAATCAGCATCAGCTATACCTTTTTTAATGGAATCTTGAAGTATTGTTATATGTCTTTCTAATGCTTGAGTTGGCCATGTGCGTAGAATTTGATCAAAAAATTCACAACATGCACGTCTAATATCTTTTGACTTAGATCCCAAACTATTTGCAAGAATTGGTATAATACGGGGAGCATGGGTATGTTCTAATATAAATCTTATAGCAACTAACCCAGATGAAGCAGTTACTTTTGCTGAATTAGGTATGAGGTCAATTAAATTACTAAAAATTGACTCTGCGAAATGATTAAATTTAATGCCCAAACGTTGAGATAAAAATGCTATTGTAATACATGTTTCTCTAACAACCTGAGATCGTAAGTCTTTAACAGATGTTTGAAAGGAATGTTCTAAATACCTCAGATTATTGAAAAACTCTTCATACTTTGTTGCTCCAGTTATTACAAGTGATCTAATTTTCTTCAAAGACTCAACTCGCTTATTCCATTGTTCATTACCATCTTGAATAGATTCATGCAATTTTTTCATTGTATCATCTAAATCTCGTACACTAAAAATCTGTATAGAAGGAACGTCTTCAAAGGATCGAACGAAAGTGTCTTCATCAACTGCACCCGCATGAGAAGAAGCAGAAGATGCTGAATTTGGTTTCCTTACAGAACCAGTTCGTTGTAATGGCGTAGAATTTTGAGGGAAAAATGAACCGGGTCTTTTAACACTACCAGGAATGCGTCTAGGTGCTGACATACAAGCACGATCAGTCTCATCATCATCAGCTAAACTGAGTCCAACAAAAGCAGATGGTAATAAATCTCCAGCTGCTTTAGCTTCATCAAATTTATTCATCAAGTCTGTCATTTTTCCTTGAGGAATAGTATATTTCTTTTGTATATCAACACGTAATTTATCCCCAACATGTTTATATAAATCAACAAGTGTTTCAAACGCTTTATGTCTTACTTGAACATTAGGATCACTTAAAAGTTTAATAATCATAGGTACAATTTTTGATATAGCAATACAGTTGGCACCAAATTCTTCAACAGTAGACAATAATAATTTCATAGCTCCTTCTTTAACATTACTGTTTTTGTGATAGAATGCATTAGCTGATATTTTGTCAAATAATGACTGAGGGCTAATTGTATCACATTCCATTAACTTCATAATAAGAAAGAGTGCTTTAACTTTTATTGATTCCTTACTATCACCAAGTCGATCAACAGCTAGGGGTAAAACAGTCGAAATATATGGTCTAAAATCTGTTCTCATTCTAGTAATCAATTGTGTGATAATATCTATTCCATATTGAGTAACTTTTGGATTGCTATTAGATAACCATTGAACAATTCCATCAATAAACATTCCAATGTCAGAACATTCAACTGAATTACTAGGCTCCTCTAAGTAAGTAAATAATTTACCACCTACAGTGACTTTCATTCTTATATCAGAAGTTGATAGTAGAGGTAAAAAGCCATCTAAATCTTGTGGTGATCCAGCAGCCATGTTCATAAAAACAGATTATGTGAAAGGTAGTTTAATAAAAGTTTTTAAATGCTACACTCCTTTATCATGCAACACATTTATACGACCACCGATGACCTGTAACAAAATAATTCAACATTTATAATTAATAAATTAATATTAATTAAATTAAATTATTTAACACAATTTAAGAATATTGTATACTTATTAAATATTTAAACATTTGTACATACAGATGGATAATTGATGTCATTTAAATGACCAATTTATTAGCGCATTATAATAATAACTATTTCTTAATTAATAAATACCAATTGAAATTCTTAACAAAAAATACAATTTAATAGTATTATCATTATGTAACAATTATTTAAAATGTAAGACTTCTTAATTGATGATATTTATCATGAACTTTATGTAACCTGATACATATATCATTCATTAAGATAACTACCAAATATTAAATAGTAAATTGTAATTACTCCAATTACTGAATTTAAAAACTAGAAACAATTTATTTTTGAATATAGTTTGGCAGAAAAAAATAAAGCATCAACACTAATGACTTATACAATAAATAAAGAATATTTGCTTAAGAATTTAATAATACATATTGTAAAAATAAGAGTATACTAGAAAATATAAGATATTACATTTTAATACTCATACAAAAAATTTAAATGTATTGGATGATAAATATTGGAAATCCTTTATGTAATTATTAATATATATATATAAAAATAAAGTGTTCATAAACAAATGTATAGCAATATTTTTAATATTTTTAAAATACTTCTACAATATTTATGTAATACACAATTTTTCAAACCTAAAATAACTATTTTATCAAAAGAAATACATTTTGAGACCAAAATTACTATACTCAATTATTTTAATATTTATTATTAACTACTTAGTGTGAAATACAAAAAAAATAATATTTTAGAAGGTACTTACTCTGATAATTTTTTAAGTAAAAAATGTTCACAGAAGCATAAAATATGAATTTAAAAAAATGCATTCCTTACTTTAATCAGAATCTAAAATTTAAATTTAAAACATTGTATTTTTAAAAAAATTATATACATGCATAGTTATAATTAAATAAAAATAAACAATTAATTAAAAATAGATAAACAAAGTGTTACTCTTAATCATCAAAATTGAATGAAAATAGATTATTAGTTAAGAAAATAGGTTGAAACTAATATAGCATAAGTCGAACTAAAAATTATACCTTTTTTTTTTTTTAATTATGAAGATATATTTTACGCTACCAAAAACATTAGTTACATCGGTGAAATGCTATTCCAAAATGATTAATATTCTCTAAGTGCTAATGTAAAAAAAAATAATATGAATACTCATAACTTTTGAACATAAATGTACAATATTTTTTTTGATAAATAATAATTAATTGATTATTAAAGAAGAATTAACATTCATTATTAGGGCAGAGAACTTGTAACTCTAAAAAAACACTAAATATGTAAGAACTTATGCACTGAAAATCCCTACAATATGTACTAAGAATATGCTTTTATATTTTTATAAAGCCATTTATTTATAAAATATATAAATCATTTAAATATTGCGTAACATCAAATTATTTTTCACATTCTACTTAAACATCACAATACTTACAGTATAGGACTTAACCATCTGTTGAAAGATACAAAATTCCAATAAATAACTTTTTAACAAATTATTAAAAGACTGGTTATCTTTAGATATTTTAATGTTAAAACAGTACACAAAGACGAAAAGTTGACACGAATTATGAATAGATGCACATAAGCAGACTGCAGAACTAAAACTAAACGACTATAATATAAAATTATTTTCAAGTACTGATAAAAGTCAGTGCAATGAAATTTTTTGGTATTGTTTATGGCATCATTAACATTCTATCAGAAAATGTATTATGTAAGCTACGTGTTTACCGTTAATAAATAAAATTAATCTAATCCCCTATCCTGAATATGTATTACTATATAAAATGTGTATCTGCGAACAGTCAACAACCATATTATATGATAAAAACTATTTTTAATTCAACAATATTTTGATTGTATATTTGAGGAAATAAGAACGTTGGCAGAAAAATGTCATTAAAAAAAAAAAACTCGAAATATGTATTTATATGCAAAATAAAATTTCAAGACTAGATTTATGAAAGTATGAAACATATTTGTTTTGTATTTTGCTATTTTTGTGATTGTGCAAAACAAATATACAAATGCTGTAAGTCCTCTATCCTACTCATTACTAAGAGTTAAAAATTCATAAGCTTAATTAAATTTAATATAAGTAACCTACCTATAAAATGTGTTTCATAAAATATAATAATAAGCAAGTATTTTGTTTTATGGCACTACAAAAACTAAGAACAAAAACCTAATTAACGAAAAACTAGAAAAAGTTAGCAAGATGTGATACCCATAAAAACAAATCTATTGCTTTCTATAACTTATTTAATTCAAATAGAAATCTTCAAAAAAAATTATTTGTAGCCATTAGATATTCAGCATAAGCACATTACATTGCATCAAGACACCAGAAAATATTATTTTAACACTACATCACACTTTTGTCGTACAATACCAATATCCTCAAAGAGAAATTTCTTCTTTAAATTATTTAATTTACTAGGGCCAACAGTAAACTCAACCATCAGCTGGTCTAGCTATTTGAGTTATTTACTTTGCCCACCTAAAAACAATGACGCGTACTAAAGCAGGTCGTATACGACCAACGGAAACCCACAGGGCTTAAAGAAGAATTAATTTTCCATAAGGAATAAACAAAATTAGAGTAAGAGTAAATTTTGGACCAAAAGACTTACCATCAACTTGGACTCATCATGAAATGATAACAGGTTTCCCGTCGTGCACATTTGTTCGCGGAAACGTTTCAACTTATGAAACGTTGAGTCAATTTTTGGTCGTGGGTTGTGACTAGTATGTAACTTCACTCGATCGGCTAGAACATAGAATAATCACGAAAAAATTCGATAGGAAAAATAATTCTACGTTAGGCTTAAAAATCATCACACCGAACGGAAAAGAAGGCAGTAGAACAACAACAGATTTATTTTTTTCGTCAAGGACAAAATAATGGATGTGTAGGGTGCGTTCAGCTGCAGCTGCACAAACTTCGAAACGGAAATGAACGGTGGAGATGGACGGAACATAACCTCAAATTTGTTCATTATGTTTGAATGTAAATGTTATCTTCTTCGTACATCATATTACAACTTTCTGTTGGGCTAATATTTTATTTATTTATTTTTTTTAAATGTTCGATATTATTTGTACAACCGCTAAAACCACGATTTGACAGTGAACTTAAATTAGAAATATTATATTGTAATGAAAAGATTGATCTTGTATTCCTAATAATTCAACACGTTGGATAGAATATGCAATAATGTAAATATGTAATGTAATACTTACGACGTTATGCTAACACATCTTTTTTAGCGAACTCGGAAAAAGAGCTATAAAATAGAACTCTTAAGTACATTATAATATACATTGTTACGTATTCTACCTGTCTATCATAGAAGTCATTTGGTTTACAGAAAAATAAACATTGACCACATAGTATAGAATACGGTCAGAGAACCTAACTCTGTGTACTATATTGTATGCATAGCGTTTCTGTTGTTTAAATGTATGCCGAAATGTAATGTATTCAGTTAAATAGAAGTGAAGAATAATTTTCTACACTTCCTAGTCCTTGTCCCATCGAGTCATAATATGATAACATGTATTCTGGAAATAGTAACAAAATATCATTTGAGTCCGGCGATATCACGTCGTCGTTCGGCCATGGGACTCGGACGAAACATGAATATAATTAAAAAAAAAAAAAATTGTTAACAGAGTAATAATATGATCCAATGATGACGGAAAGAATAATAAATTTCGTCCGGATGCAGTCAATAATCCTGAGCGTTATATTTCATGGCCCTCGAGTCTCGAGGAATTTATTCTGTAGGTATCATTAAAAACGACGAAATTATAAAGAACGAAGGCGTGAAGAACATCATACATTATGTATAACACTCGTATATAATTTATGTAAGTTATAAATCCATATACATGGTAGGTTTCGTTCATTCAAGGTTATCATACGTCTCAACTCTTGGTCGTTGTTTATTCCGAATCTTAACTTCTATTTTTGCAAATTTTATTGTTTTCGATCTATTTGAATGATGATATTACTAGGACATTTAACCTACTCAAATTAATACGGACATTAAATAAATTGCCTATCAGGTGTAAAGGTGGTTTAAAATGTACATTTTACTGGGGCAGATTAATTTAAACCACCATCTATTCTGAAAAAATTGTTTTAGCTTCGCTTGATTTACATTAAAACTGTTAACATTAAGGCAGTTACTTGTGTAGCAATATAACGAGCACTGATCCACCAACTCACCCCAAAATGTTTTTAACAGGGAACTGTCTCGGTAGAAGGTACTTACAAGCTACCTATAACCAGATGAGACTAACGATTCATATTTCATTTCTATATAATACATCAGCTATACATTGGCACAACTTGAACTTGAATTTGGCGTGATGTTATAAGTATCGAGATAACATAGATTCGCAAGGGCTATGTTTCCACCCCCCCCATCAACTAATTTACCTACATACAAAAAGTATATGTCACGCAGCGGTGGATTGGCTAAAAATTTTGGCCCGGAAAATTACCGTATGACCGGTTCACTATTCAATAATAATAATTTTCCATAAAAGTCTCCTTTATTCAAGGATTAAATGCTCGTAGAATTGTTTACATCACGTTTACACTGGGTTTTTATCACAATCTTACAATTAAATACAATTTACTTAAATACATTAATTTTATAAAATAATTTTTAATCCAAGTACATCGGCCCAGTGTTATAATACAACTACCGGCCCACCGGGAACTTTCCCGGTATCCTGATGGGCCAATCCGCCGCTAATGTTATGGCTAGTGCCTGAAGGACAGTTAATATAAAGATTAACCGACTAATCTTAAGTTTAGACAATGCTTTTGGATAATGTCAAAATTCCGGACTTCAGCCACCAAAAACAAATGGATAATCTTAACACTAGCTAATAAAACCAACATTGTCCAACCGTTATTGGCCAATGACTAAATAACATTAGCCATAAGTAAATTAAAAATTTAAAACTATTTACAATAATAATACAATATTTTGAAATTGTAATATTGCATAAATATTGATATGTTGGGTAGTTGTATAGAGGTGAGCCATGTACGTGGTAAATAAAATATTTTGAATAATATAAATACTGTATACAGTTGTGTGCATTTTGATATTATTTTAAAATTGATATTAATTGCAAAATTCATATGCATGCAGTCGCATACAATAGTGTGTGCTCTATAGAGACAGTCCGTAATAATTTACCGTAATTACCGACTCAAGTTTGTAAGTAGTTAAGATATCAGCTTATAGTATTTTGTAGGTATATTTTGTTTTCAAGCCTAGGAGTTAATAAGTTAAAAGTTATGTTAAATTAACTTATTAACTTAACTTATTTTATGAATAATAAATTAACTTAACTCATTTCCTTACAAATTAACTTGAAATTAACATAATATTTTTTCGTTTACCCCAATTAAATTAATTTTGATTTTCAAAACCAGAAAAATATTTTTGTAAAATATGCATTCCATAATAAGTTAATGGACTTTGAAAAAGTATTACAATAAAAATTTCCAAGAATTTTTAGATGAGACCATAATATTTATCTCGGTTTTAACTATTGATAGGAGTCCCACCGTTCTTCAGAAAAATATGCCACCCATGAATTACATTACCATTGTCATGAAAAATGGCCGTAAAACTATATAATAAAGATAGATAGATATTATCATTGACTAAATAATTCTTAATAATAATTGTACTCTATTAGTATTAAAATTATTTCATAATCTGATATTATTAAATATTATTGAATAAGAGTATGTAAACCGTTTAATTAGTTGTACAGATAATGTTTTTAGACATTAGTCATACGCATATGGATAAGTCCAAAATTTAGATATTAGCCAAACGCAGAGACTAAACTTGAGTTTAGTCATACACCTAACACATATAAACTATTTACTACTATAGATTTAGTTCAAATTTTACCCAAGAAAATGAAAAAGTACGATTTTGTAAACCAAATTTTGTATTTGCATATAAGTAAAGCAAAAACTATAATACACTGAATAATAAGAGTTTTCAAACTTAATAATAATTTTGTGTATTGAGATTATAGTCATAGATTTTATCCCAATCTCAAACGGTCTTGACCAGCCCGATTAGGTACCTGGGGGTCCTGGTAGAATACAAACGTAACTACTGAGAACACATTAGGTCAGTAGCTGGTAAATCCGAGGGTCCTTTCCTTAGACTTAGGGGAGCGTCGTCAGCTAACTGGAGAATAGGTTAGGAGACAGAGATAATCTACAAAGCGGTGTTTCTTCAGAGGATCACCTACACTTCAGAAATTTGGATTAAGGCAGTTAGGACAGCAAAGGCCAGAAAATTGTTAGGCAGTGCTCAACGTAGGGCATTTCACTCCATCACCAAGGTATACCACACGACGTCCACTGACGCCCTGCTGGTTATTGCTGGGAAACTTCCGCTGGACCAATATAACTGTATAAGTAATTAAAATATACAGCAATGTTGCACTGTTAAAAATCTATGAAAGAGTACATAAACTACACAATAGTAGTGACCAACCCAAAGCCCGTAGGTCACATGTGGCCCTCGAAGGCAATCAATGTGACCTATTACAATTTTTTTAAAATGAAACAAATATAAAAAATGTAATAATCAAATAAATGTGTACAAACAACGTGTACTTCGATCTATATTTTCAGTAATCAATAAAATATTTGAAAACAAATTCATCATGCACCTACTTATACATTGAATACCTATTATATATAACAAAATAACATTATTTGATTAAAATTATTCGTAATTTTATAATTGGTAGCCCCCTCCAAGATAATTGTTTAACAAAGTAGTCCGCCGAGGAAAAAAGGTTAGACATTATCATATGAATAATCTTATATACACAAGTATACAAAATAAATAAGTAAAATGAGCAGTTAGTCACAATAAAAATAAGTTGATAACAGTATGAAATCTGGCATAGTATTTCAAAGAAAAATTATAATAAGACCCCTATATCAAATTAGAAAATATTTAGCTATATTATTGACAAGTAACAAATAAAATTTCATACAATATTTGTTATTTGTTTATGACCTAGTATCATGTAACAAATTAATTAAACGATACTAAATGTGTAATATTCATTAAGGGAATTGCAAGTCATGATTTTCTTTCTCTTTCTACCACACGCACAATATAGGTATTCAAAGGTATTATATTTCCAACATACCGAACAATATATTAAGGCGATAAGGATTTTGAAAAGTGGTTTGAATTTGTCATAGTCTTCTTTCGATAAGCAGTTCCCAACCCATGGACCGCGAGCAGGGTGGTCCGGGCCGTGAACCATATTATATAAACATTACTTACATATATTTTGAAAAATATTAAATATTAGAAACTGAAGATTTGTTGATTGAACTTTCATGTGATCAGACTCTAAAATTGTTTTCTAAAACTACACCATTATTACCATTCTAGTTAAATATTCGGCAAGACTTTCCAGAAATCTCTAAAATTACACTGTATATTTAAACAACATGTATGTTTGTGTAAATGAGCTTTTTCTATTTTAATTTTTAAGAAATAAATATGAGAATAAACTGAATTTGTGAAAGTGATTTAAGGCTAAAATTTTCAGTTTTAATTTAGATATTAATTCTCTCGTGGGGACAATCAAAAATCACATAAAATTGTTTAACTATAGAATAATCTGGTTCAATGAAGTTTTTTTTTTTTTTTTTGAAATAAACAATTGTTTTTTAATAAATAAATTGTAATAACTGATGTATATGCGCATTATATATATAACTATTGGTGGGCTCCCAAAGATTTTCTATGAAATGAGTGGTCTGCACTAATAAAAAGGTTGGGAACAGCTGCTTTAGATTAACTTTCTTGCATTTTAAAAAATGTAGTACTTAGCATACCTAAAAATTAATTGTTTCCAATTTGTTTAATCCTATTTTGAATAATTATGGGAAAAAAAAATCAAAAAAGTGGGAAAGTCGACCTAAAGAAGAATTTAAATCAGTTTTCAAAATCATTACCACATCAATGGATTGATCGCTCCATTGAAAATAGAAAACATCTAAATTCCTATACCTCAAGTGCGATATAAAGAAAAAGAAAATCAAGGCTTGCTACCTCCTTAAGTGATTTTGTATATTTGTATAAAATAAATAATAGTTCCTAAATGAGTGTTTCAGTTTTGACACTGTAAGAAAAATAAGGAAATTGTTTGGTAATAATATTTGTAGAGAAAAAACAAGTCTGTATATAAAGAGAAATCCAATTTAATATTTGCAATGTACAAAATTTGTAAGACAAATAAAAATTGGGAAACTACAAACGTCTACCTCTGCGACCACCCTTCCTACGTGTAGAATCTGATGGAATTGGTGTAACATCTTCAATTCTGCCAATTTTCATACTTGAACGGGCTAAAGCACGAAGTGCAGACTGCGCTCCTGGACCTGGTGTTTTTGTCTTATTTCCACCAGTAGCTCTCAATTTAATATGCAAAGCTGTAATACCCAAGGTCTTGCATTTTTCAGCAACATCCTAAAAATGAAGTTTGTAAAATTTACAAATATTTAAAAAAAACTCAGATAGCACTTAATTAGATTTCTAGATAGATGAGAATTGTATTTATCTAAGTTAATAATACACCCAAGCAACTGTATGAATTCAGTGTTTCTAAGTGAAAGTCAATATATATATATATATATATATATATATAAAGCTTATTGATAAATAGAATTTATTAAGTTTAAAAAAAACTTTATTTGTTGAAAAACTTAAAATAAATAATGGTTTGTGAAGTATTGCCAAATTAGTAAGACAGAAAAAAATAATTACTATTCCAGTTAACATATAGTACAAAATGTATGATTTAGTAAGTATTAGGGAAATAAATTTAAAAGAAAACAATTTAATTTAATAAAATATTTTCTAGGTATTATGAGGAAAAAATATTTGATATTCAGAGAAAAAATTATTTCAACTTCATGTAACATACCTGGGCAGCTAACATAGCAGCGTAAGGAGAAGCTTCATCTCTGTCAGCTTTTACTTTCATGCCACCAGTGACTCTAGCAATAGTTTCCCTAAAATAAACAAATACAATTATTAAATAATCATATAAATTATCTATACTTCATCTTAAATAGATAAATGTATATAATTTATACAATGTTATAAAAAACATTTGAATAAAATAACAAATTAGCTTGAATAATTAATTTAATTCTTTATATCAAACAATAATAAGAACAACATAATAACAATAACAACAACAAAAATAGCTCTGAAAAATTCATACATAGAAATTTATTGATATTAATACCATATTGGAAGTAAAATTTTGCCAGAATTAGGAATATTAAAGATTTATTTTTAATCAAGAGAAAGGACATTTTATTAAATATAAATACTTTTTTCAGATATTTATAAGCTATACAGAGCCATAACAAAGAATACATTTTGAGGTAACCAGTATCAATTTTATTTAACTTTCAAAAATATATTCAGTAGAAAAATTATTTCTGTCCTATGTAATTCAATAAATTAATGTTATTGATTTTAATTAATAAAGACTAACATTCTATAGTAAAAATTCAAATCTAATTTTCAATATTTTATACTTAGCAATTATCATATTATAAAAAAAAGCACATTTTAAACTTCCCATAATTAAAAATTGGAGTTCAATGTAAGCCATCAAATGTTTTCATAATTAAATAAAAAATTTTAATTTGCTTGATTCTACATAACAGGATCATTCTCACAGAGTATATTTGTAATGAAATCATTACACAAGCACCACGTGTCCTAAGAAATAAATTATTTATCAGTTTAGCAAAATAATAATATATTTGATCAAAAATAAATTTAATTGAAAAATTAACATTTTATACTTAAGTTGACTAAAAATATTAACACTGTATATTAGAAAATAAACCTATAATTTAATTTGTAAGTTTGATATTAAATGCAATGAAAAATACATCCATTAAGTAATCTATAAATTATATTAATAAACATACTAAAAAAAAATAATTTTCTAATGTTTGATAACTAGGCAATATTTGATGAAGGATTATTAATAATTACCTTCCAGATAAATCAGTTACATGGACAAATGTATCGTTGAAGCTAGCAAAAATATGAGCAACGCCATATACCAATTCACCTTCTTGAATTTGTGGTCCTAATTGAATGACTGGCTCTTCTTTTTGTACTTTCCCTTTTCTTGGAGCCATTTTGTTCTAAAAAAAAATTCAAAAATTACATATCTGACAATACGTACATCAATAAAAGGGCAACATTGCCACATGGCTAATGAAGTTATCAAGTGATGTAGTTTTGAAACTTTGAACAAAAATCTTTTTTCCACTAAACACAAAAACATTTTAATAAACATAATCTACTTACTTTTACTAAATATCCAAAGTTTTAACGTAATATTAACAATTTTAATCCTATCTAGTCGCGAACTGGAGAACAGAAACTTAAGCCATACGAAAAGCAAAAGAGACGGTCTTGTTTAATTTAAGGTTATGTTGATTGTCCCTTCAAATCACTAATAGTGTGACCAACAAAATTAATCCAAATAATTAGTTAAATATAAAAGTTACATATATAATATTAATTTAAAAATAAATTGATAAAAAAAAAAATTAAGGTTTATTTCGGTAAATGATCAATTATTCAGTTCAATTGATATAATGGTTTTCTCTCGTTTTTTTATTCAAATGTATGGAACGTCATGTAACAACGTTGGTCACATATTCGTATTATAGGTACGGTGTTGAAGATAAAATTGTTATCTATAGCTGTGTTGTGAGCCCTTGAACACAATAACAATAGCGCACCGAGTAAGTAAAATACTCAGCATAACTGTCCTTATTTTCGTTTAGTAGCCTAGTATATGTGTGTAGTAGCAAATTTAAAAGTGTGTAGTAGATAAACATTTTGTAACAGTACTTGGATAAATCATTAATTAAAATATTATCTAAAAAATTATCTTGGTTCAAAATAAGTGAGTTATATACTGTGACAAATGGTCAAAGAAAAGTTTTTGTTTACAATTCTTAAAGGTGTTTGTCTAGGTATTCTAAAAGAAAAAAAAAGAGAAGTACGTAGCGGTAAAATTAACTAAAAATTAGGGACTGCAACATAATATTATTAACTTAATATCAAGTCATATTGTTGCAAAATGGTAAATTTTAAACTATCATTTTTTTATATTAAAATTACTATTTTTTAAACTTTCTATTTTACAGTATAAAAAATGAAATTAAAATAGAAATTTTAAATAATAACCGCTAAGTCTACTTTCAAATAGTAAATATTCGCTTGGTAGTATTTTGAATTTCTACAAGTATAAAAATATCTTCAATATTGTTATTTCGGTACGTCGTTACATATCATAATCAATATCAGCAGTTTTAATGGATTTTTACTTTTTGTTTCTTCTCCAATGTTTTCAAGTTTCAACCGTGATTTTTAGAGCAAGTTGGAGAATACAAATATTTATCAATAACTGATAACAACTACTGAAAACTAGTGGACACTGCGAAAAAAATATCAGATAGTATGAAATAGGATTATTTAACGATTTAATATATTAATGTATTTTTCTTCAGTTATAAAGTGATAATGAAATCAACATTTTTTTAGTGAACTTATGCATTTTTAATAGTGTATTCAACATACTATATCTATTTATATTCAAAAATTATAGGTAAGGAAAGTAAACTATAAAATAGTTGAAGATTTGACCTTCTATCAAATCACTTGTATTAAAGTCTAATGTATTATGCATTTATAAAACATTTATGAGTACTTTAATGTACACATTTTAATTTTTTAACGTATGATATACTAAACTAAATTATATTCTGTTGCATTTGGCTAATAATGATTAAAATTATTCACCAAAAATAATATTACAAATCTAAATTCAAATTGACTGAAATGTAGAAATAAAATTATCAGCTCTAGATGAATCTTCATTTTATGCTAATAAATTGATTAAGGTTTATTAACATCAGAAACAATGATCATTTTTGAAGAAAAGCTATGCTTTTTTCAACATTATTTTATATTTACTTATTTAACAATTTATAGTAATGTTAAGGGAGTAGTATGGGATGACCATATTAAGAAAATAAAAAATCAGGACAGCTGTTACTTCCCCTCCAAATAAAAAACTTCATCCATATATATGCTCACAAATCTCGAGATTTAAAGTCCAAATTTCTGTCATATCATAAATAATTATTTTCTTTTAATTATTATTAAATTATTAAATTGGTAATTTTATAGTTTGTCGTCATTGGGACTTGACGCTCATTCCACAAAAACTTTTATCTGTTATTTCTAACTTTGGTTTCACATTTTAAATATACGAGTAAAACTGTTTTAAATTTTTTCATGCAAATATATTTTATTTACAAGCATTAATAACTTATATAATAAATAATATAGCAATAATAGGATTAAAGGAAACAGGATAAAAAGCATCCCATTCAAGGTTTGTCGGGATAACAGGACGTAATGATCAAAAAAGGGACAATCCTGTTTTAAACGGGACGTCTGGTCACCCAAGAATAGTAGAAGTTCACCTTTTTTTTCAAACACATATGCATAATTTTATAATTATAATAATTTTTATGTTCAAGTTTCCATTCTATATTTCATCTTGTTTTTAAATACTGGTAAAATTATGTCTCATAATATATTCTTGTTTAACTTTATTTAGACATGGGTAAGTGGCAATTGGAAGTATTTCGAATGGGTATTTATATGACGTTTCCTGTCATCTTGTTCCATTATTTCAATTTACCTGAAAATTATGAAGAGAAAGTAATACAGTTCAAGAGGGAAATGTTCCCTCCTGAACGACCAGAACCTCAACAAAAAATTGCTGACCTCAAGAGAATATTTCAGGAGCGCAGAGAAGTCGAGTTGAGAAAAGTTTTTGAAGACTAAATAAAATAAACAAAAGAATAAACATCAAACATAAATTAATGTATTATTATTGTGTTTTGTATAAATTATAATTTTACTTAAAATGTATTGTTAAATATGTTATAACTAGATTAGTATTATATAAATATAAAAAATTTAATCAATACATGTTTATATACAAATTTAAATTTAAAAATCTATCATTTTAAATATTTTAGTTTATGTACATATTGATTGAGTTCGAACTGTTCACAATGATTGATAATTTGATCCAAATCAATTCTGTCTAACACTGGACAACTGAACACTAGTTTGATGCAACGTGTAACCTCAAAAGAATCTTTAGCTAAAAAAAAATATAATAAGTATAAAAATAATAATGGTCATTAATTATAATTAAAATAATTGATACCATTGTTAAATGATGACTTGAGAAAAACATTCCATGCTTTTTCAACTATTTCGAATGTTAATTGATGCCATTTATCCATTAAATGAATAAGTACTTTTTCTAGCTCATTAATTATTGTAAAATGTATTAATCTAGATAATAATGTATCCCAAATACTTGAATTCATTGATTGTGAATATAAAACACATAAATGTGATGCTAATTTAGTGGCAATCAAAGTTTTTCTTGCTAAAAGTGACTGGACTAATTTAGACTTATCACATCCACGATATCTGATAGGAGAAAAATTGATTCCAAGAGTTTCTAACTCGGTTATAATTGAAAGTTCAATTAAATTATTTCTAAACATTTCAAACAAGTAAATAATAATTTAGTTAAATGATAATAATAAAATAAAAATTAGTTAATATTTATACTTCATCATTTCTTTTGTTCTACATGTTATTTCTTCAATATTCTCAGTAGTAGCCAAACACAAACATTGTAATGCCCTGAGTCGCACACTTGTGGGACACATAGAATCATTGTCATCTTCATTATAAGCTTGACATATAAGGAAATTATGTAGATTGTATGCAGGTGTATCATTTTCTAGTAAATAGCATGCTCTAAATATTATGAGACAATAAGATTCAATGTTTAACTAAAATATTTGATGCACTTCAACAAATAATAACTATTACCTTAAAACACCTTCACTAATTGTTAAATTTTCTTGAGTAGCATTAAACGAATTGTTTGTTGACATAGCCATACTTTTATTAGGGGAACTCATGGACCCACATGACGATGGTTGTAACCATTCTTTCAATAAATCTACTTTGAGTGCCAAACCCCCTTTACCATGAACTTCAACAATAGCATCTACTGCACCGTTAATATCTAAAAAAAAATACAAGTATAATTATTGTTTTTAAATTAACAGCTTTAATAAAATATAGTTATAAAACTTTTTTTTTTTTTTTATTTAAAACAACATTTTATTTACAATCTGTATTTACAATGTTATACAATAAGTAAATTGGATGAGATTTGATTGACAAGAAGGGGTATTAAGACGCCTATTGGTGGCCCTCCATTGAAAATATTTTATGGAGAGAGTAGGTCCCTACACCTTTTAAGGCACTTTGGCGTATTACCTGGAATTTGTTTGGATAAAAGTTTTGTGTTTTTTTGTAAGCGAGCGTAGCAAGATTGTTTAAAGTTGGAATGCAAATGTCTTTATATAGTGAGTCATTAGAGATGTACCCGGGATCACCTGATATATTAAATGTAGGCAAATAGACTGAAATTCCTGTATTGTTCTTGTACTGGATGGTTTGGCTAAACCCCAAAGTTGAATACTATAGTACCAAATAGGTCTAAGAAGAGCCATGTAAATTGTTCGTTTGGTTTTGAAGGAAAGCTTAGAATGGAGTAAAGTCTAAGAAGGTGAAGTCTCGAATTAAGGGCTTTACGTTTGTTTAAGTATGGGTCCCAAGGAGGCATTTATCAGGCATTAGTCTTAGGTATCTAATTTGAGTAGATGGAATTTGTGCATTATTGATAAGCATTGGAGGGCATTTAAAGGAGCGTAAGGTAAAGGTGATTTGAGCAGATTTAGTTAGGTTTACTTTGATTTTCCAGTTGAGAAACCCAATGTTTAGAAATTTTCTGTTTTCACAGAAAGGTGGCTTTAAATTTATAAGGTTACTTGGATAGGATCATTGTGGATAGCAAGAATAACAATCCGCAAATGTATCTAGTAGAGTATTTGAATTTAAAGGAAAATCACTGGTAAATACATTGAAGAGAAAAGGGACTATACCGCAGCCTTGAGGAGCACCTGCTATTGCTATTTGAGTATGAAAAAGCACAATTAATTTTTGTGATAAATGTTCTTTGATTTAAGTAAGATTTTATTAGTAGGAAATACGGAGCAGGTAAAAAGGATTTAAGTTTTAAAAGAAGACCTGGATGCTAAAAACAGTCAAAAGCCTGATCGATGTCAAGAAAGACACTAATAATTATAAAACTTACCAGGAAATAATTTAATCTCGCCTGTATGTCTTTTTAATATAATTGGATCATTATATAGTTCTCTAATTAATTCATTAGGTTTCAATGCTAATTGTAAATAATTTGGCTTGCCAAATCCATACATGTGCAGTATATGTTTAGTGGTAGTCAATACATATTTCGTAACAACCTAAGAAAAAAACACTCGATAATTTTAAAATCCAAATACAAGAATAATATAATTGTGCACACACTTTTGTAATACCAGACTTTGCATTTTCTGAATTTTCCAATTTAACCCATTCTTGAGCTTGTGAATGACAAATCTTAGCTGCTGCCAACTGATCAGCACCTAAAATAAATTATATAAAATTATTATTTAAATAAAATGTTATAATGAAATATTTTAATTCATGCCTAAAGGTAAGCTATTGACAACAAAATAAAGGGAGGCAGCAACAACTTCCAAATTCTTTACATTGCTCAGTACTTTTTGAATATCCCTTAATAATGATTTAAAGCGCATATGTAAGTACCATTCAATGTTCTTATCTTTAGCGGCTACCTCATTCACCTAAAATATTAAATAACTGTTAATTTACTGTTACTATTGATTACTTTGAATTCTTACCATATTTTTTACAGTAAAAATGCATAATGTATCTTTATCCATTCCAATTGCTTCAATTATTGAAAACCATTTATTATATGTAAGGAATGTTAATTCTGGTTTTATAATTTTCCAAACTTGCATTTCACGATGTCCAAATTTCTTTTTTTTGTTAGCAAGTGGAACGTAAGGTAAACGGTATTTAGAAATAGGAGGTAATGACTGAGATTCTTGAAACATGGAAAACCAAATTTCTTGTTCGTGTTCTTCAGGAACACTAACTCGTTTGTATTGTGTTAAAAATAACAAAATCTCTTTTTGAGTATTAAACTTTACAACTGCATTCTCACCATACTTTTCAATTAAACTTACTATCACCAAAAATACTTCATAATAATATATATTTACCTATGAATAAATAATAAGTATACATATCAAACATGTTACTATTAAGAATTAAGTTGAGTAAAAACACAGAAATATTATTAGTTTTACTTGTTCCCAAACATGGTTCCAAAGAAAATCTAATACATAAGTTTTGTCGGTTATAACATTGAAAATATCTTCACATTTTTTTAATAATGTATTTTTATCTTCAATTATTTTGGCTATCCAATCTGTTGTAAAGATAAAAAAAAATTGAGTGTTTAATTTTATAGTATAAGCCAAATATTAATATATTTACCAAATGTCTTTTCTTCTTTTTCATTTGGTATATATGGTTCCCATTGTATTAAACAGCTTTCTAAAAATAGTTTAGCAGTTTGTTGCATATCAAAATGTGTATCCTTACAGTAGTCTATTAAAACATTTAATGAAATGCTGGGAGATCGTATCATTTTTTGTAATAAATGGCGTTGATCTAATTCTGAATTATAAAATGCATCTAAAAACAAAAAAGTAGTTTTTATTTTAGTATTAATATATTATACATTTCACTAACAGGCATTGATTATATTTATATTATATAATTTTGCTCAATCTTATAATCACCTCACAAGTAAACTATTATTTATTTTACATAGTGATAAATAGTCATTATAATATTAAAAATAGTAAATATGACAAGATAGTTTATGAACAACAGAAAAAATATTTATAGCTCATTTATTACATTCTTCTTCTTCTCAGCTTACAGATTTATTAAAAAACATTGCTGCATTCAAGAAGTTTGACTATAATTTGAAATAGTAAAAAATATAGATTTAAATAAATATGAAAATAGTTATCATTGTTAAATTTTAATTTAATTATTTACTTTATTAATAATTTTTTGTAATATGGACAAGATTTTTTGGTGGGCAGCAAGCCAATCAAAACTGACTAAAACTTTAAATATAATGCAGATTCAGAAAAGTACATTTTGAGCTGAATTCATGTACACATTTCTTATGTTATAATATATTGAATTAAACTTAATAAATATATACCTTTAAAGGCAAATCCAAACTTCATTAGTTTTTTACCCCAAATACATTTGTTTTTAGTTGATTTGAGAGTTTCATATAAATCACCAGCAGTATCAAGATTTAAACGTACATAAACTAATCCCAAATCTGTGATATTTATTAGTTTTTGATAGTTCATTCCAACACTAAAAATCATAAGTTAAAATTAAATGTTATTTATTGTAAAATAACGACTCAAATTATATTTATATAATTATTATTATATTCATTTATATATTAATTTTTACTTATTTAGAGCATCTTCCAGCCAATTGAAAGCATCATGTGGCTTAAGGGTATTCAAAAGACCTAAGCCTAAATCTATGTCTAAATTTCGAGAATATGTCACATTTCTTAATATTTGCCGTACATTACTTCTAATTAGATTATTTCCTTTATTAATTAATTCAGGTTCCTAAAATAATTAAAATTTATCATAACTTTTTATTGTAAACTTTTCAGTTTTCTTAAATTTACCAATATTAGTTGATTTTTTAGAATAACACGATACAAACACATAACTTGTGTTACAGTTATGTGAAGACCAATTAGATTTTGACCTTGAAAGAACTCTAGTGAAGACATTATATCATCAGGTGATGGCTAAAATATTTTTAATATATTATTTCATGTGTTGTAAAAAAATAATATAATACTTACAATACTATTAAATGAATCTTTAATATCTATTTTCTTGTAGCAATATAATGAAGATTCAAGATTCAATGAGTCTAGGAGAACAATTAGGTTTCATAAGAGTTTATTAGTAATATTTATAAGTAATCAATAAATTTAACATTACTTAAAAATGAACTAAACATTTCAAATTGATCAAATAACTCTGCATGTATAGAACTTTTGTCAATAATTGCATTTCTCCAAGAATATGCTAATCCCAATTCCATATTATCATTGTTCACTACATCACCACATGTTAAATAAAAAGGTTCAACCCACTGTCTTAATTCAACAGCTCTGGTTAACATACCTAAAAAATTGAAAAAATGCTAATAATTTTCAAAATATTTGTATTAGAATTAAATTAAACCCTTACTTGATTCACTGTTAACAGTCACTAGTTGTGTAATTCGCCGAATTAATGTCCAAAGTGGTATTTTAAACATGGATTGGGAAACTGGATCATACCTAGATACTAAAAGTTCTCCTAGTTCTAATAATTTAGTTGCTAGTTGAGGACTAACACTGCCAAATTGATTTATAAATTGACCAAATAGACAAATATTTTCATTATTATTTTGTAAGGCAGATTCTTTAATAAATTGCACAACAACATTTTCAAAAGTATCAAATAATAAACTTGATAATCTTGATAATTTGGCTTGTATAAGAAAACTTGTTGTATTATTCAAAAAATCACCTATAATTACCATAAAATAAAATTAAATGACTAAAATATATTGTTATCAAGGAGGTATTTGAAAATTATTTTTAAATAACGGCTGAGAACACGGGAAAAATATTATTACGTAATTGTACAAATAATTGTATTCTTAATAAATTGTAAAAAATGATTTTTTCTACTAGCTTCACTTTAGCCCTCCCAATAAATGTGCTATTAATTCATATACAAGTATAAATAGTATTTTAATATAAAATATTTAATTACTGTTAAGAATTGAATTGACACATTTAATTAGTAGCTTTTCTTCATAATTGTACTCAGATAAAGAACATTCAATTTGAAATTCATTCTGAAATAGTAATAATTATAATATGTATTTATTTATTATATATTTTAAGTAATTAACAAACCTTTAAATGATAAATATTAACTAAAATATTTGCATAATGTCTGCACTCAGGTCGAATATCAATGATGGGACTTTTAGCTAAAAATTTTACCACAGTAAAATATTTAGACGCTTCTTCAACAAAAAGTGAAAGATTTCTTAAACTATTATAAGTAATCCAAACTGTGGTACATATCCATGATACCAATGAATTAGGAATTATCTGAGGATTTGTCAATGATTCAATTGCTTTATCAACAAGACTAAAAAAAACCAGTACAATTTAATTATATTAAAAAATCAGATAATCATTACTTAACATACCCAGATTCAATTAAGTACTGAATATAAATTTCATATGCTTCTTGTTGAACAGTTTCCGGCTGTGTACTAATTAATTTAACAATATCTTCTAATACAGTTGGTCGATTTTGAGTACAAATATTTTGAACAGCAATAATAATCTAAATTAAATATCTATAGAAAACATCTTAACAGCATAATAAAATATTATAATACATACTATACTTGGTGTAATATTAGTAAACGAAAGATTATAACTTTTTAGTATTAATTTACTGGTAAGCAAATTTTTAACTTCTTCGATATCTTTAATAGTTACTGTATTCAAATCAGTAAGCAGTGTATCATCACAAAGTTTTACCATAAGTTCTGACCAAGGGATACTTGCAGCTTTTAAAATACTTAAAACCGAATCAGATTTTATCTAAAAAATAAAATTAGAAATTATTTCTATTCACCAAAAAATCATGAAAAAATTATTACCTCTTTATTAGATATATAATTCAAGAGCAAAATTGCTTTTTCTTCCCAAGACCCCCAACAATCATCTTGACTAACAATATTCTGAAATATAAGTAAGAAATTTAAATCATTTAGTTTCAATTAAGAAAATTAATATTGTTCTTACTTTAATATATGCAGATAAGATTTCATCAGAATTTAAAAACCGTTCTAGAGTAAACGTTGACCAAAATGTTGAAATAAAATATGGAAATTTATTCAATTGTATTTGATCAAACATTAAAAATGATAATTCTGAATAATTTTTGTCTTCATGAGATAATTCATAATCATCTAGAGTAATCTTTACATTAAAATTATCATTTAGTTCTTTTAATTCGTCTAAGTATTTTATCAATAAGATCAATTTTTTTTGAGGTTCTGGTGCTCGAGAAATACTTAAACAAAGAGGAGATGCAACAATATAATTGATGATGTATAAAAAGTAACGGCAAATTTCTAAGCTAGAATTTATCCAATCTAAATGCATATATAATTCATTCCATCTGGCAACAAAAAATTATAATTAAAGAATTTTGAATTTAAGTGTTGATCTAAACTAAAATACTTATGTCAGTTATCCATACCTAACTTTACTTTCAATATAAGAAACCATAGAAGCTACTGTTTCATCATGAAACATGAAAAGTGTTGTTGAAGCAAAACTCATAGTCCATAATTTTAAGTCTTGAATATCTACAGATAATGGTATGTTTGAAAAATATTCATTTATAAATTCTTCAGAAATGCAATCTCTTATTTCTGCAATATGACGACTCCAAACCGTCAATGCATCACTTAATTGATTCTATAAAATATAACAAGATAATGATTTAAGTTTATGTTTTTCATTCTAATTTATTATTATTTATACAGTTAAGTAACGATAACTTATTTATTGGAGGCGAAGGAAAAAGTTAAGAGTTGAAAGGACTTAAAATGTAATTTGAATTGTTGGGGAATCCGAATTAACAAGATTTGTGTTATTGAGACTCAACTGTATATAAAACATAAAAGTATATATGTTAATAATTTTATATAGAAAATCTGAAAAATTTTAGTATTTTTAACAAAACATATTTTTATTTAAATAAAGTAAATACTTTTTGTATATAATCCAAACAAATTTTATTGACATTTTGTTTACAAAAACGAAGCCATAATTCAGTATTTTCAATAGACCAGGTTGATAAAGTATCAGATACATCATTCAAAAGACAAAATGTATTCAATTTATGAAGTGTGAATTGCAATTGATCAAGTATAACTGTTAATTTATCTTCAGATACCTGCGATGACTTTATTCTTAAAAGTGCATACCTTAAAAGTTTTCTACAAAGTATAAAATTTGGTACAATTGTATTGAGAGCACAATAGCCAACAAATAAGTGATCCTAGAATGAAAAAAAAAGAAATTATACATAAATAATCATATTATAAATATTTTTAATAAATTACTTTTATTTTATTCAAGTAATTTATCATTTCCTCAAAAGTTTTTTGTAAATCATCAGTTCCGGATTGCCATACATCTAATTTTCCCATAAGGCCTTTAACTTGTTCCTTATACACTGTTTCTGGATCAAGATTAAAAGCTGCTGCAAAGTTTCGAGCTTCGTCATATTTTCCTCTTCTTAACATTCGCGCTAAACGTAAGTCTGGTTGACCTTCAGTTATAATTTTTACACTCAATGTGTTAATATCTTCATCACCGCTTGCTTCCAAGTATAACAAACCATCAGATGTGCTTGGATAATCAATAAGATAAGTAAATGGGGATGTTGGTAGCTTGAATGTTACACTAAAATCTGTATCAAACAGTCATGTTTAATGATTAAGAAAGACATTTTTATTGATTTACATAAATCATAAAATATTGAAATTGATTAAAAACTATAGAATATCTCTGTACAGGTGCAAATTATTTTTTTTAAATGTATGATGAATCAAAACAAAAGTTTTTTAAATATTTGAAAAAAAAAATGGTACAAAATGTATAATTATTTACATCATTTTGAAAAACTTTGAGAAAATCTTAGTGAAGTCACTTGTAGTTTCTATGATTTTTGTTAATGACCTAATATAAAGAAATCAGAATACAAACTTTCTACACTCTATAGTGGTTACTATGCATTAAACTTGTGTAGGTAGATAATAACTAAATGAATATTAAATCAATAAATCCTGAAGTCATATTTTTTTTGTCATTATACATTATTACAGAACATGGATACAATATTAAAAGATGTATATGATGTTTTATCTAATAAAACTGAAAATGAATTATCATCACAAGATAAAATTATTAAATATCAAAATACATATAGATTAGAATCGAAAAATGCATTTAATGAAAACAAAGCTACAACCATAATAAAAAGGGAAACCGAGAAGTACCTAAATAATGAAACTAGGTATGACCCCGAGGAAGCAACAAGAATTGCTGCAGCTATGTCACTTGGAATTAAAGATGGTATTCATGAAATGAATTTTGAAAGGTAAAGTAAATTAAAATGTATACTTAACTAAATAACTTAACTAACTAAATAAAGTTCTAAATAAAAAATCAAAGAATAAAAATCTACAAAACATTTATAAATTATAAAATACAATTAGGGTGTCAACAAGAAAAGAGAAGTTGAATTAAAGATATTTATATATTTTTACTGATAAATTACAAAAATAAAAATAATTATTTATTTATTTTTTTTTTTTAATATGTTCATTACATATTATAAATTATTTATAAATAGTTATTTATATAATAAATAAATATGTATTTATATTTACTAGTGTCATTCAAAAGCAAGAAAATTATAACTAAACCTAAAAGTAGGGTAACTTCAAAATATTGGTCCTCGCTTACTAAAGTATTTGTTGAGAGGTTTATCTCTATTACAATAATATACATTTTTAAATTATTTTATAGTTGTTTGTAAATATACTACAATTTTCTTATCATGAAAAAGCTCTTTAAACAAAAATAAAATAAATTTAATAAAATTAGGAAAAGTGTTTGCATAAAATATCATGTTATTTTTTAAAAAACATAAATAAATCCATATGCTAATACCTATGTACAGCTAACACTTTGATACAATATACATAACATTAATTCTTGCTTAATATTTAAATACCAAAATAATATTTATATTCTTTTATTAGTTACTAAGATACCAAATTAGAGTATTTATTCAAAAATATAATAGATTTCTTCAGCTACTTTAATTTTTATTTAAAGAATAAAATTTACTAAATACTAAATATAATACCAAAATGATGATTATATGATTATAAATTAATTTTTGTTTTTATTACAGATACAAAATTGTGTGTATAGTTGAAATTGGAGAAAAAAAAGGTCAAGGAGCAATGTCTATAGCTAGATTCTTACGTGACTCCAATAAAGATAAATATGTTTATAGTAATTTTGAAAATCATCATTTGTTTGCAACTATTATGTTAGGAGCATTTTATTATGAATAAAACAAATGCAATACTAGTTCAAAATGACGTTACAAGGATATTTCAAACCCTATGCAAAGTATTTAAACAATCCACTACCCCCTACCTTCTTCTACATAATATATATTTATATAACTATTCTATTGTACTTAAAATTTTACTTAATTCCTTTCAATTACCTACCTATCTTCCTATTATATAGTTTTTTTAATGCATGCGATTAACTAATTAACTGAATTATTCAAATAATATATATTCGTACATACAATTTTACAGGAGAAAACTATAAAAACGTAAAAAAAACTGGTCAAATAAGCAAAAATAATAAAAAAAAACTGGAAATAAGCATTTTTTTTAAAAATTGCTGAAAAAAGCAAAAAAAGGCACTATCAAATTTCATAATTGAACGTGTTATAACTTAACATAAATTTCTATAGCACTCTGCTACATTTTAAGTTAATCCATAAAAATAAGTAAACGCTTTAAGTCCTGAGCCCTGATAATAACTAATGATTGAAAATTTTAATTTAATTAATATATAATTTAATAACTAAATAATTATGTAAATAATAAATGCTTTAACATGGATGATAATTATAGAAAACATTCTTTACTTTGTTACATATTAATTTTGAATGAATAAAATGAAAAATCTCATTTAATTAGAAACCTGGTTTTTTATTTATATTAGTTATATGCATACCATAGTATTTTTTATTATTTCCAACCTATAGATTAAAACATAAATTTGACAAAATCAAATTGACTGAGCATTTAATGGCCAGAAATGTTAAAATAAATAAATGTGTAATATTTCATACATGCTTGTTATTTATGTATTATAAAAGAAGGTATTAAAAATATATATTTTTATTTCTGAAATTGTTTATTATTAAAGGATAGAATTTATTGTTGCCCAAAATGTCTTAAATTGTTTAAAGAAACCGCTAAAGATTTAGTTACAAAATAAATATTAAAATGCAATTTATAAATTAATGAAATACCTGGTAAAGAAACTAGAAGTAATGAAGGTTGTTCTTCATCAGTTAATAATACAATACTAGTTGTATTCATTTCTTGCATCACAGTGAAATCACAAATTGGCACTTCATTCCATTCTTTAGCTGGTATAAATGTAAAAGCACAAACCAATAACATAGTTTTTGAATTAGTTAGGCAGATGATAAAACTAAAACAAAATCCAATATCAAACATAAAATAAATTGATTGCTTTTAAAAATAAGTAAACTTTACTGCATAAAATTATATAAAAATAATAAAACATAATGAAAAATTATTATGTCTTACTAAATTAAATAAATATAATAATTAAAAACAAATTAAATGACATTGTACCCAGAGTAACTCTTTTTTAACAAAAAATTTGAAGCATGATGAAAAATATATAAGTATATATATTTTTATAGATTTTGGATAATAAAATTCACAAATAAATAAAACAGAATTCTATTAATTAAAAAAAAAAAAAAAATGGAATACTTGAAATAAAAGTAGTCAATTGTCTAAGTATTTCAATTTGACAAAAGAAAAAATTGTACATGTTCAATTTAATTTTATAAGGCCGGGTTGCATAATTGTATTAATAACTGACCCTGTATTTACCGGCTCTGTAAGGTTTTTAATGATTGTGGAAACTATTCTCGGGTTACATAAAGACCTATTTGATAAAGAAATATTAACTGTGGTTACCAAATAAATTTGAAAAAAATTGTGTGTAGCCACGTGGGTATATTAACTTAAAAATAATTTTTATTCTTTAATAATCGCAAAAACTAAAAAATATATAATATAAATTGAATATTGATAATAAAACGTGTTTATCTTATCTTAGTAATAATATTATATTATTTTAACCGATCTGTAACTAGTTACAGAGCCCAAATCGGATCTGCAGTTTACAGATCCAGTAGTCGATAATTTACAGAGCCGGTAACTTTACCGAGCGTTCAAACAACACCTAATTTTATTTACGAATCTGTTAACATACTTACAGATCTGTAAGTAGTTATAGGAAGTTTATGCAACCCTGCCTAAATGTAACATTTATAATTTTCTTTTATTAAAATACAGATTTACCTTACATTTTTTAGTTTAAAATTTGAAATTTAGTTTATTTTTATTTTATTCAAACATTTTTAACTATATCTAAAGAATCTTAAATGCAAAAAATATATTTTAAGGTTAGTAAAACAAAATAATTAATAATTGAATACTTAATTATGTTTGTATTTATTAAATAATAGAAAAAGAAAATTAATCAATATATAAAATATAATTTACCTTTTATCTTCAGTGAAAACAAGTTTTTTAATTTTATAGATGTCTGGAAATAAAAATTCTTTAGATCTTAAATTTTCTTCTTCATAGATACAAATACTGTCACCAGCAATTAAAATATTATTTTTCACTCTACTAAAAGTTTTGACCTAATAGAAAATGTTAAACTGAGTGATTAATTAAATTAATTTGTTATTAACACAACTTACATTTTCATGTATATCATATGTATTTACAATTACAAGATTTTCAATATTTTTAAAATCATCATTAGTGGAAGATTTTTCTATTAATCCCATGACATCATCACAAATAAAACTAAAATTAATTTTAAATAAAGTACAATTAAAAATTGCACGCTTATATTTAACATTTTATAACATAATTATTTTATTAAATATATTTATTTATTACTTGTTGATAAATCCAGAAGATGTAAAAACTGTAATAAAAAAATTATTGTTTTCAAAAGAAAAAACAAGTCCTATAAGTTCTTCCATATCAGAAGGCAAACAACGTGGATTCTTAGATACTTTCCTAGAAAAAATTAACCAACTGTATTAAAAGAAATATACTTTTAAGTAGAAATAAATATTTAATTTAAAATATTTAATAAACAAATCTATAACATTAACTAATAAATTTATATCAATTTAATTTTTATTTATTATAATTATTAAAATTATTACATTTAGTTATGGCAGAGAAGTTGGATTATTTATTTTGAATTTATGATTCAATTATTTTTTTTCTTAGAAAATATAACCAGAGTAATAGTTTTAAATCATTATTTTTATTTTTTAGCTTAAAATGATTTTTTCACTTCTTTTTCTATTGTTATTCTCTAATTATTTCAGTATAATTATTATTAATTTATAAGTACATTTGTTTGCAAAATATAAATTTACAAAACATGTACTTAATAGGTACAGAGAACATATTTATTGAAATATATTTTATCTACATTTATTATAGCAGTTAACAAACTATAAGGCTTTTTTACTTTTTTTTTTCTTTGGTAAAATTGGGTATTACATAGAAGTTTAAATAAAGATGAATAAGGTTATAGTATGAAAATGATTTTATAGTTAAAATAACTGTAAAGAAATAATAAATATTTTATGATTAATATGGAATTTATACATAAATAGTTGTGTACATATATATATATATATAAATTCTTAGCTTGGAGTATCATTATATTTATATTGTATGACCCTGATTTTTAATTAAAAATTCATTATCTGATAAATACAAAATCAAGAAAATCATTATTAATAATAATCCAGGTTAAGCATTTATTTATTTATTTATTTATATGTATTTACGATTTACTAATTTTTGTTTTATTGTATTACTTTCTTACAATAAAAAAATAAATATTAAGAATTATATTGTAATAATTGTGATTTTTTTAATACTTTACTGTTAATATCCATATTACTAAATAACTAGTAAAAATTAATCAAATAAAAAAAATTTTTGTTGAAAGACAATTGTTAAAATTATTTGATTTATAGGTAAATATTTTTATAGCAGTAGTATGGAACTAGTCAAATATTGCATTTCATAGTTTTAACATGTTCAATTAATTATTTTTTTTTTTTAATAAATTTATAAATACGTAACTAAATATTAAAGAAAATAACTTGAGTTCATATCAAAGAGCTAAAGTACTTTTAAAATGTTATATCTTTCATTAACTCAGTCAAAATTAATTTAAAAAAAATGGATGTATGAAAATACAATTATTTTCTATTTAAGTTAATTTTATTAAGAATTTATCAGTTCACTATTAATAGGTTTTAATTTATGTACATAAATGAGGAAAAAAATGCATACCTAACAAATAAAATCTGAGGATTTTTGAATGAACAACAATATATTGTCCAATCATCTAATAACACAACTAAGTAACAACCATCACCAGAGATTTTAGCATCAATTATTTGGTTAGGAAATTCAAAAGTTTGATTGATTTCTGTAACACCAGTATTGAACAAAATAAAAGATTGACCAGAGGAAATGTACATTAAATCAGGTGTACACATAGCATTGATTTTGAGATCTTCTTTTGTCACACATTTTGTATTGCATGTTTTCTTTATTGTAGCCAAAGTTGTGGTTTCAAATATCCTGCTATCACCAATGGCTACAGCACGAGTACCGAAATTTATAGTCTCATCAGCTGTACTATAACCAATAGTTATACCGTTCCACATTTTTAAAGGATAAAATTGGTACTTCTAAATAGAATAAAAACAATTTAAATTAAATAAATGCACATCATTTGTATATGAAATAATTTATAATAAATACTTACATATAATGAAAAATGTTTTCTTTTGTAAAACTAATTCATGTTTTTAATTTCCTACACTTGTCCATAAACGATTGTGTTGATCTAAAATGGTAAAATTATATATTTTTTAATTTGAAAATCTTTTTAATACTTAATTACAGAACGGTAAAATATTAATTCATGGCAAATGACGATCATACAGAAGTTTAGTTTAACCTTTATGATTTCTAATTATATTCATATCAGAAGTTAAATTATTTAATACTTGTAACTTGTTATACCATAACTTCTATAACTATATTTATTTTCTTTATCAGTGAAGAATATGATTTTGGCGCCAAAATTTATCAACAAAGAATTTCATTTAAGAAAAAATAATTATCTATTATCAATTTTTTGTGGCGGCAAATAAGTAAACATTATTGTTAACTGATAATTGATATTGTTAATGTTGCAAATATTGATATCCTTAGTTACAAGTAGTCACTATTTTGACTTACTTAACTGTTGAAAATCGGTGAAGTTCAAATGTCGTATTTTTACGTTTTGTCTTTATGAATGTTCAAATTAATTCAATATAATTATCAGCTGGCACAATAACACATTCCCAGCTATGCGATTATATTCTGTAACCAAATACAGAAATCTTTCATTTTAAATTTAAATTTATTGAAAATACAATAATGTATATTATTTATTCTGTGGTGGAATAGTCAGTTGTCACTACTTACTTAATCATAGATATTAGACATTTTTACTGCATTTTTTTTTTTTATTCTTCAGTACATTACTTATGGAATAGTCAGTTGTCATTACTTACTTAATCATAGATATTAGAAATTTTTACTGCATTTTTTTTATTCTTCAGTACATTACTTATAAGATTTAACATCAAGTATGTCTCAAAATCAAGTTCAGCAAAGTACTGGAAATAATGGAATAGACACCAAGAATTGTTTGCGCTATATACCACACTATTATTTACCCAGCCTAAATACTTATTTAATGAATGACATTAGTACCAGTGATGAAGCCATTCAGTGTTATTCTGTACCCGAGAGTTTTGATCTACCAGTGCCATATGTAGCATTTTCAGAAATTAAATCAAGTAATTAATTTAATTCGTCCTTAGTATTCAATATATGTATTTATTTTTTAACTTTATAGGACTAAATACAGTTTCGGATTTGGTCAACTTGAAAACTCGATGGAAATTTGAACATGATAAATTATTGAAAAATTGTCGAAAAAAAAGTATTAATTTCATAGTATTTGAAAAATTCGTAATTTTGCTAAAACATTATTAAGTACTACATTATGCAATTTTTTTTTAGTGAGTTCTAGTACATTAACTGCCTTAAAAAAATCACTTGAAGGAGAATGTTCATACTCAAAAATTCCTCATGTTTTATTTGATCTTACAAAAAATTTAATGGAAAACCCAGATGAATATTTTGACTCTGTTAAGTAAAAATCATTACAATTTCAATATATTTAATTAATGTCTAGTGATTTAAAATTTATGTTTATATTTATTTATTTGATTATTAAATATAATTTTAGGACTATAATTGGTATTTTAAAAATATTATTGAAAAATTTCAAATAAATGGAAAATGGTATTTAGCTTATGCCAAAGGTACAAATCTCAACATTTTAGGTATGCTTATGTATTTTTACATCATACTTTTTATGTTTGATCAACTTTTAAATATGTATACATACTATTATAATTTTGAAACTTTGTTCTAGATATAATTTCAATTGAGGACAAAAAACTTGGAGTACTTATGACTTCTAAAGATCAGTTCTTTAAAGGTCCAATTTTTGACATAAAATCTTCAAATACAAATGGTATAACTTGAAATCATAATTTAAATATATTATATTTATATAATAAAAGTTTTCATAAAACATAGAATAATAAATGTTGATGCTTACATTTTTTCAGACTTAATGATTCGACAAAAAACTAAATTATTTGTATTTTGGAACAATTCAGATACAAAATCTTTATTAAACAACAATTCAATTTTTGAGAACTGTGATGTACCATTTGCAGACTCTGATATTATAAATAATAATTTTTGTTCTATTGATGTGAAACATATAATTAAGCTGTGGAAAAATGAGTATATATTTTAACAGTTTTATTAATTAGTCAAGTAAATAATAAATAATTATACAATCAGTAATTTATTATTAGAGACTGTATTCAAGAAAAACATTTTGAAGTAGAATCTGACCAAAGTGATTCTTTTGTGCGTTTAAATTATTCACAAAATCAAACTGATTTAATTGGTATTATTAACAGAGAAAAGTTTTACTTTATAGATACTCGGGTAATATAATATTTTTTATAAATATAGATTTAAAATGTAGTAAAAAAAATAAATATGCAAAGCTGGACAAATAACAAACTAATTGATTAAACAACTATTGAGTCTTACATATAGAGTATAATATTACTAATATTTTTCAGATTGATATGTCTAAACCTTGTTCAATGTATGATCCAAATAATATTTTAGAACAATGTGAAGAACTTATATCATTAAAAAATAGTATATTAAATTCTCATAGTTTCTATGTGACTTCCAGTCATTCAGTTCTAACCTTAGATGATAGAATGGGATTTGTCCATAAATCATGTCATATGCTTTCAAATCCTCCATCTTTAATTACTTCACATTGCTATGAAAATAGGTAAACATTTTTACCTGGTAATATTAATTTATTATTGTAGTATAATTTTGTTTTTAGTTTAGAGCCATGCGAAATGTTGTTCTTAGGGAACCAAACTGGAGAAAATCTTGTTCATTTGTCCTACACATCACATCAAGATGATTTTCTAATGTGTCGACATATGGCATCATTAATTCCAAAACCATTAGATACATTGCATAATGTTCGATATCAAGGGCATTGTTTGGACTCAACACTATTTGATAGATTTTCTCAATGTTTAATTGGCACAACTGCTTTAGGCGATAATAATGAAAATTTAAGACTTTTCAGTATTAATTCTACTGGAGATTTATTTGTACAAACAATTAAAAATAATAAACCCATAGACATTATTGAATTTAAAAACAGAGTCACAATAAAACCTCAGATCATTCAAAAGCTTAATTATTCACTTTTGTTTAATATGAGTAAATTATGGCAGATAGATTTGTCTGATCAACATAATGAAAACATTCAAAAGAATAATGCTTGGAGAATTTCTAAAGAAAAAATGACATCTTATACAGATCATTTAGCTCCATTAATATTAGCTCCATGGGATATAGACGAATTATCTGAATGGGAAAATGAAGATGAAAATGCTGATGCTGAAAATGATACTTCTGATTGTGACTATACAACTAAAGTTAACTATTGGTTTAATAAAAATGACTCATTATTAGGATCATCAAAACCATTAGAATCAAGTATGAATAAACCATCAATTAATTTTTCATCTCAAGCTACTACATCAAAACCTCTATCTCCATCAGAAAATGATAATGATTCCAGTTCAGGTTAGTTTTTCAATGATAAAATTCTAAATTTATAATTATATATACTTTTATATTTGTTTCAGGATTTAGCATTTCCATGAAATCTGGTGAAAATTCATAATTTTTTTTAAAACTGAGTACTGAAATTTAATAGATATTTTTAGTATATTATAACATACTGTATATAGTTACTGTATAAGTATATTTCATTTTTTTTTATATAATTTGAAAATCTATTTGTACAATGCGAAATATAATTTTTTTCAAATAAAATGTTTATTAATGTGATTGATTATACTCAATTCAATTTCAAATTAAAATGGTATTGAATAATTAAAATCTAAAACTTATATTTGAAAATCGTATTTTATTAAGCGAAATAACATTTAAAAAGTAAAGGTAGAATTAAAACATTTTTCAGGTGTAAGGTTAGGGGTGGATCTAGGAGGGGTTCAGGGTGTCAGCTAACCCACAGCTAATATTTGTTGACAAAATTGGCTTCTTGAAAATTTATTTCTCTTTTTAGACCTTGATTTGGACTCTTGGACAGTTGGCCCATCGGAGTTACTTGAAAAATGAATACCATGTATATTCAAAATTTAAAATTTTTCAATTCATAATTTATATTTTAAATTATATCGTTTTAGTAGAAAGTTAAGTAAATCATATTTTATTCCGTACGTTTGTTGCGCTGATAAAATAAGATTATATTTTTAAATCGTAAATAACTCATTATCGGTGGTATCACTAATTTTAAATTTTTTTTTTTTTTAACAAGATATATACAATTTGTACTCATTAGGCACAATAAGAATATGTGATATAATATTTTGTACATGAAATCGTGAGGGAAGAAGCCAACCAGTGAAGGCACTACCTAATTGTATTTATATATATATATATTTATTTTTTTTATTTTTATTTTTTTAAATTATTTGGATTATTCATTTAGTAAATCACGACACCAATTTCTTTTTAGTCGACGTGTGGGGTTGCCTGGAATTGTACGAGAAGCTAAATTGGATATAAGAGGATTAGGATGATATGGAAGTCTGTTATGGAATCTTTTGTAATATGTTATGGCTTCAGCATGAACAGTTTTTATGTTTAGATCTGTGTGCAGAGAGTAGTTGGAGACATATGGTGGGGCTTTAGTGATTAATCTAAAAATTTTATTTTGAACGGTTTGGATTTTATTTACATTAGTCACTTTTGCATTGCCCCACAATTGTAGGCCATAAGTCCACATGGGCTTGATTAATGATTTATATATGAGAAGTTTGGTGTTTCATTTAGTATGCTTGTTAGATATTAGTGGTTTAACTGAGCGTAGTCGTTCGTTTAGGGTGAGTTTTTTAGCTTTGATATGAGGTCCCCAGGTCAGGCGACGGTCAAAGATTAGGCCTAAGTATTTAACCGATTGGGATGAAGGGATTGGTATGTTATTAAGAAAGACTTCTGGGCAGGGAGGGAGACGAAGAGTGAATGTAGTATGAATGGATTTTGTTTGGTTGACTTTAACTCGCCATTTATCATACCAGACAGACATTAGGCCAAGGTGGTTTTAAAGGTTTAGAGAAGCAATGTGAGGGTCTTTATGTACTGATATAATTGTCTTATCATCCGCAAATTCAGCTACAGATGTTGTTGGAGAGGTAGGTTGGTCTGCTGCATATACATTATATAGCACAGGTGAAAGAATGCCACCTTGAGGGACTCCTGCGCTAATTTTTTCAATATTTGAAAAGGAAGAGCCAAACTTGACTTGGAAGTGTCGATCCATAAGGTAAGACTTAATGAGTAAGAAATATGTTGTGGGAAGAAAAGCTTTTAGCTTAAATAGTAGCCCTTCATGCCAAACCCTGTTAAAGGCTTGTGAGACATCAAGGAACACGCATGAGCAGTATTTTTCTTTTCAAGAGAGAACGAAATGGCGTCGACTAGTCTATGCAATTGGTCAGTTGTAGCATGAGAGGCACGAAAGCCAAATTGCGTGTTGTTTGAAAAAATGTATGGCAAAATTCTTTTAAGAATAAGGCTTTCAAAAATTTTTGCGAAAAAGGGCAAAAGACTTATAGGTCGATATGAAGAGAGAATATCAGGTGGTTTTTTTGGTTTTGGGAATACAATTATTATTGAAAATTTCCAAAGTTGCGGGAAGTAAGCTAATCTTAGGGAGGCATTTATCAGAACTATTAGCAGGACAATTGCTCTTTTTGGGAGGCATTTGGCAACTTCCGCAGTTATTAGATCATAACCAGGGGATTTTTTTAAGGCTGTAGTTTTGAATTGCATTTTTAATATCATTGGGAGTAAAATATTTCGATGGGAGAGTAGGTGGAAGAGGGCTGTCAAGAAGTCTGTTAACTAAAGCTGTGTGATGGGGAATTTGTATATCAGAAAGTGGCGTGAAGATTTTTGCTAGGTGATTTTTCAACAATTCAGCTTTATCAGCGTCTGTAGTAGCTAATCCACCGGATGGATTTATTAGCGGAGTATTCGGAGCTTGATGTTGCAGGGACTTTTTTGTGGCTTGCCAAAGGCTACCGTCTTTCGATGACAAATTTGCAAGGTAGTTAGCTTGTGCTTGATTTTTGTGACTCGAAAGAATTTTTTTTAGAGAGTTTGCCAGGTTGTTGAAATTACGCTTGAGGGATGGGAGGCGATATCGCTGATATAGGGCCCTTGCTCTGCGTTTGTTAGCTATTAATATGCGAATATATTCAGGGATCGAAGGGGAGTGGTTAAAGTGTTGCCTGTGTGAAGTGCTAGCATCCCATGTTGCAGTTTGAATAACATTCGTGAAATTATTAATGGCATCATAAATTTCTTGGGTGGTTTTAAGACTAATTTTAAGGCTAATGTTTCGATCAATCAAGTCATGGAATTTTTGCTTATCAGTGGTCGAGTGGAAAAGCTTTGGTGGACAGGAACGAATTGGAGGAGCAGCACTAACAGTTAAAAGGACAGTGGAATAGTCCGAACTAGGTTCAAGCAGGTTCCTAGTTGTATAGTAAATGTTGCTCGGTGAGTTGGAAACAAAAATGTCAAGTATATCGGGTTTTTTGCGAAGTGAGGTTGGCCAATAAGTTGGTCCAGGGGGAGCAAGAGCTTTGAAGCCTTTCTAAGTTATGAAATTGTGAAGTACATTACCTCTAGGGTTATTTGTGCAGCAGCCCCAGGTGTGATGTTTGGCATTATAGTCGCCGCCTATAATAAAATTATGACTAAGTGTGCTAAAGTAGTCAGCTTAATTTTGAAAGTTCATAATATGTCGTGGTGGAGAATATATTGCTGCTATTATGGTCGGTACGTTGTTGAGGTACATTAATATGGCACAAGACTGTAAATTTGGTTGACAGAAGTTAGGAAGGACTTGATATACCAGGGAGGTTTTGATATAAATTGCAGTACCTCCATGCGCAGTATTATCTGGGTGGTTGGTTTTTAGCAGATTATACCCAGCTATGGGAATATGGGAATATTTGGTGAAGTGCGTTTCAGATATCAGAGCAATATCTATACGTTTTTCTTGTAGTACTACCTGAAGTTCATTTTGGTGATTTTTGAAGCCATTAGCATTAAATAGGAGAATTAGAAGTGAGTTACTTGTAGGAGATGACATGTTTTTTAATCTAGAAGTTTTGTGATTACTTTGGTTAGTAGGGTGATTAGAGGATTAATTAATTGTTTAAACTTGTCAATGAAGGTTGACATTATTTTGTTTATATCTGGTGCAGGTGAAGGTATCGTATGATTGGAATGAGAATTGGAAGTTGCTTGGGCGTAGGTAGGAGTCGACTCTGAAGGGTGTGTTGTGGAGGCTTTCACTGTGTGGGTATCTTGTACATTGGTATTTTTATAGCTAAAATTATTAGATAAGTGATTACTTGATTTTGGATTTTTTCTTCGTTGTAGATCTTTATAGATAGTGCAGCTTTTGTAATTAGATTGATGATCGCCAGAGCAGAGAGCGCACTTGGGTGGGGCATCACGGGTATTCGGACAGTCTGCTGATAAGTGATGACCACCGCAGCGAACGCAACGAGCTGGATAGCCACAATAAGACTTAGTATGTCCGTATACTTGGCAATTAGTGCATTGACTAATAGTTTTAGGCTTGTAAGGTTCTTCCACCTTTATTTTTGTGTGGAGAAGTGAGGTGAGTTGAAATATGTCATTGGATTGGCTGGTTGTTTCGAGATCCACAAAGAACAGTGGTAGTGGATTTTTATTTACTTTGTGTAGGACGGCTGAGACCGGCTTGACTTCAAAAAGACGTTGTTCGAGCTCTGATTTGATTAACTCCGGCGGAGTAGTTGGATGAAGATTGCGAATGACAACACGAGTTGGTTTTTTCTTCTTTAAGCTGATAGGTATGAAATTCAGCTTTTTCTTTTCTTAAGAAGCGGACCAGCGTTCTGTATGAGTTTGGATTGGTTGTTATTATTTTGAGGCGGTCTGCCAGAGTTTTACAGTGAAAATTGTCGACACCAATTATCTCAATGAGCTTAGTGCACAGATCAGTAAAAGTAACATGTAGTAGTCTTAAGAATATTGGTGAGGGTAAGGCGGTCTTAGATTCAACGTTAAGGGAAGCCTCAGTTTTTTATTATTATTATTAGTTGGATCAGTCATTGGAAGTATTGGCTCGTGATCATCTGATAATAAAACTTCGTAACGATTTGCGGAAAAAAAAACTTTTTATTTTTATTCACCGGAGTTTGTGGAGAGTTTTGTTCGGCGGAGCTAGAATGATAACGTTTACCATCCTTTGTTGATTGGACCAAAGTCCAATTCATCATTTTCTAATTCAGTTTCATCCCTAATAAATGGACTCTTGAAATGGCTTGACCCACAGTTCCCCGACTTTGGATCCGCCCCTGTGTAGGGATATTAATTGGAGTATCATATTACTACTTTAAAATTAAATTCTTTAAATAGCTCAAAAGAAGTAAAATAATTTTAAATTTATATCATCTATAACCAAACGATGATAGAAGCATTTAAGGACAATTTCAAGTTTCTAAGATTATTATTTTTTTAAAATAACATTGATAAAAATAAAATTGATTTTGTCAAAAACTGGTGAGCCACAAATGTTGTCTTTTTTTTACTATTCGTCAGTTTTTTACAATTATTATGAAAACTTTTAAACTAAAATAATTTAAGATTTAT